GAGAACCCCTGCCAACTCTCTAAGTACTCTCGGGTGTAACCCGTCAGGGCCTGGCGCCTTTGTAATGTCCAATGCCCTGAGGAGCCCCTCAACTTCAAGGTGCCCCTAAGTCCCCAGCCTCATCTAATCTCCTATGTGGATATCCCCCGTCCTGCTTTGGGGAGAACACAGAGGCAAAATAGTCATTTAGCATCTGTGCCTGTTCCCTCATATCAGTCACTGGATCTCCTTCCTCCTTATTTAGTGGTCCCACCACTTGTCTCCCCTTCCTCATCCTATTTACATACTGAAAGAAGCCCTTTTTGTTGCTCTTGATATTCTTGGCAAGTCTCAGCTCTTAATCAGCCTTAGCCTTGCGAAGAATCCTTCTGCAATGGTCCTCCTCCTCCTGGTATACCCTTTTGTCTATTTCCCCCATTGAAATTTCCCATAATTACTGTGTCTCCCCCGAGATATCCTTAGAATCTGGCCTGTCAGGACATCATCCAGGGTTTCAAGTTGACCTGGAGGCCGATAACGTACCCCCACTGTCAGGTCTCTTTCCCTGTCAAAACCCCTAAGTTTCACCCAGACTGCCTCTACCGAATCCCCATCTGTGCTGCATTCTATCTCACTGCATCCTATCCCTTCCCTGATGTATAAAGCCACACCCCCACCTCTCTTTCCCTTCCTGTCCTTTCTAAAAAGGTGATACCCTTCTGTGTTCACATTCCAGACTTGCCTTTCATCCCACCAAGTTTCTGTGATTCCCACCAGATCATACCCCCCTATTCCCAGGAGAACTTCAAGCTCTTCCTGCTTATTACCCATGCTCCTAGCATTGGTGTACATGCACCTCAACTCCTTCCCACCACTTCCCTTCCTTGGAGTTCCCAGCCTCCTCCTTCCTCCCATCCTCCCTCATACCTGGCCCCTTTTTGTAGGAGTCCTGTCAGTCCCTGCAGTATCTCTAAAACCCTGCTCCCAGAGCCCTGATCCTCCCCCCACACTTGTCCAGTGCAGACATGTTACTGGGGAGTCTGAACCCCTCCCCAGCTTAGTTTAAAGTCTTCCAGACGAAGCTCGCAAGAGCATTTCCAAAGGACCTTTTCCCCATCCTCATGAGGTGTAACCCGTCCCTTGCCAGAAGTCCATTGGCAAGAAAACGAGTGCCATGGTCGAGGAACCCGAAGTGTTCCTTCTGGCACCACACCCTAAGTCAATCGTTCACCTCGGAGGCCCTCCTGTCCCTTCCTGGCCCAAATCCCCAGACAGGTAGGATTGACGAGAAGGCCACTTGGGCCTTCAGCTCCCTGAGTTTCTTCCCCAAGGCCTCAAAGTCCCTGGTGGTTCCAGCCACACCCTGCCTGGCCACATCGTTTGTGCCCACATGGATCACCAGGAGTGGCTGGTGACCCCTGGAGCGAACAAGACGCTCCACTCTGTCCTTCACATGCCGGATGCATGTGCCCGGCAGGCAGCAAACCTCCCTTGTCTCCAGGTTGGGGCGGCACACTGCCGCCTCAGTGCCCCTCAGCAGGGAGTCCCCAACAACAATCACCCACCGCCGTACCTTCCCGGTGCTGGTGGGAGGAATGTGCCCTGGCCCTTGCCTCTCCTGCAGTGGCCCCCTTGCTGCCTGATGTCCCAGGCTGGGGGTCCTGCTGGTCCCCCGAGGCCTCATCAGCCCCAGCCTCCCCAAGTGGAGAGAACCTGTTTCCCAGCTCCAGATTGGTGCCAGGAGAAGGAGGAGGCTGTGCTGGCCTCCTCCTCCTTTGGGTGACATACCTCCATGTCTCCACAGCTGCTCCTCCTGTGGCCTCTCCCTCAACCCTCTGTCCAGAGGGGGGCTGCTCCGGAGGGGCCTGGAGAGCTCTCTTGGCCCTCAGGCACTTCACCTCCTCTTCTAGCAGGGTCACCATCTTGCACCGAGGGCAAGTGTATCCCTGCCTCTCCTGGGAGAGAAGGGCGAACATGTCGCAGCGGACAGCAACACTTGTGACTCCCACCAAGGCCATCTCCTGGTCTGTCATTGGGATCCCTTCCGAGACCTTACCTTGGTCCCCTGCCTTGTTTGTCCTGCAGTTCCTCTCACTCGCCCAGTTCTCCCAGACAAAAACCCACTCACGCACACACACACAAGGATAAAATAAACTTAAATTTAAATTGGAAGAAAAACAAAGCACAGCGCAAACAAAACAAAACAAAACAAACAAACAAACCTCTGTGTCTCAGGGAAGGGAGTCTCCAAACAGCCTGGGCCGCAGACAAGGGACGACGCCCTTCCTCTCTGCTGCTCCTGGCCCTCTGCTCCCCTGCCCAGCTCTTACCTTGCCTTCGCCAGTCCCCTGGCCACTCAGCACTCTCTCCCAGCCTGTGCCTCTGCTGCTCTGCCAAGAGGCCGGAGCCAAAAGGGCTTGCAGTGGGGCCTTATCAGGCCCTCAGGCCGGTGGCCCCACCTGCCTGCTTCCTCCTGGCCCCTCTAGCCTCTCTGGCCCCGCCCCCTTCCTCTCTGCTGCTCCTTCCCTCCACTCCCCTGCCCAGCTCCTACTTTGCCTTTGCCAGTCCCTGGCCACTCAGCACTCTCTCCCAGCCTGTGCCTCTGCTGCTCTGCCAAGAGGCCAGAGACAAAAAAATTTCTGGACAGGTTGTGAGACTTAAGATTTACATGTAGGTTAAATGTCACTGTGAATTCTTGCCTACTGAAATTGAGCATGCATCTTACCTTACTTCTGCTTGAAAATTAAAATTCGTCAAGTCCTACTGGCCAATAATAAAATTGCTTCATCTTTTCCATGCCTAAGCAGTAAGGGCTAGTAATGCTAGGGTACAATGTTATGGGCCTGTATGTGTGTCCTACAGCCAATAGGATTTTTTTGGAGACTTTCTCTTGAGAATGTAGAAACTACTACTTGTGACACAGGTATAAATGTTGGCAAGTCAACATATGCTAAGAATTAGAATTTTAAAATATTTGACCAACATATGCTTGACAGTTACTCCAAACATATTACTGCTTAATTTATAACAAAGGCAACCAATTCATCTTGCATGTATTCTTTCTTCAAAGAACTGCCTTCATATAAAATAATAATAAAAATGTTAGGGTACCTGAGAAAGATCAAATGGCATTTTGGAAGGAGTAATATAAACAGTGTACTAGAGATGCAATATTGCCATCTGTGGACCATTTGTAGAAAGTACTCTCTGTGTTAATAGCTTTATTCTTAAACTCTTATTTTTTTCAAAAGAGAAATTTCCTAAAAGCTCTGTATTCTCTATTTTGTTTTTGGAGTTAACTTATTTCAGCACATCAAAATCTGTAGCATTAGGATCATGAAGACTGTGCTAGACCAAACCAAAGGCCTATCTAGCCCAGCATTTTGTTTTTTGTTCTCACAGTAGCCAGAGGGGGAGAGAGAGAGAGAGAGAGAGCGTGAGCGAGCCCATGAGGGCAATAATGCTTTCTTACATATATTCCCTAGCAACTAATATTGAGAGGCATATATTCCTTTTTTCTGGGGGTAATATATAGCCATAATGACTAGTAAGCCTTGATAGCTTTATTTTATTTTAGTATTCATTTTAGCATATGGCTTGGAATTTGCTTTTAACTTTTTTACCTACCTTTCGTTTATATTCTAAGACTACTTACTACCTTGTTTTAAGCCATCTTGGCCATGGTTTTTTTCTCTGCGTAGAAGGTTGGGCAATATGCAGTTAAAATGCCAAGATACATAGCATTCTTCATTCTTTCATTATGCATAATAGCGGTGGATGAGAGGCTTTTCCTGTAGCTTGGGCTGGTCATAATGCAGTCCTCAGCCTGTTTTGCAGCCCCTCTGCTACACCCCTCAAGTGTTACTGCATTGCTGCATCTCATTGCAACAGTAGCAAAGCGACACATTACCCTTATAGAACAAGTTGTGTGATTAACTTGTGCCTTGTTTCAATTGCAAATTGTGCTCTTCTGAGAGCACAGTTTGCCTTTAATACAAGATACTTAGTCATGTTATGCCTTGATTGAAAGTAGAAACAGAGCTTTTTTGCCTCCTACACGAATAAAATTGAGCAGCAATTTCTGCAGCAGAAGTGTATGTGTATTCCCAAGTGGGTTGATATTAGTTGCCATATTATTTGAAGTTGCAAGGTAAGTGAAATCAGATAATTCAGTCTTCTGTGTGAGAGTTTGATAAAATGCAGGAAGGACTTTGTTGCTATTTCTAGGATATCAACACTTAGCTTCAAAAGCAAAGAATTCAGAATGACTGTTAGAATTATAGGGACCAGAGAACACAGGAATGCATACTATATTCTAAGTCTTTATGAGGGATACAGGAAAGTGGGTTCTGTACATCAGATCCATAGAAATTAGTGGCAAAACTACCCCTGCTTTACATCTGGCTCTGCAGCTGCTAGGGCATATTTCTTTCCCCATCTGTCTTGGGGAAACTTGACCTCAGCATTCTTTTTGACCTGCACTTTTGGCTTTTCCTTCTATCAGATGTCTTGCCCAACCTGGCTGTTGAACAGAATCCAGCTCTGCAGAATCTTTTCTCTACTGAGATGCTTTGTCCCTAGGGAAAAGCTATCGCTCCAGTGAATGGCACAGGTTCTCACCTTCCTTAGCTTGCCTCATGTGTAGTGCTTGCAGTGGTAGGACAAACACTGGTGGCAGGTTTTATAGATTTACTCTAGAATCTTTAAATACATGCTGATGAACACCAAGCCCTGTTTCCACACTGGGCATTAGGCACTGATTCTGCTCAGACCTTGTGTATTTTTTGGTTTTATGGAAAGCAGTTCTGCATCAAAGCAGCACAATACATGAAGGAGAATCTTTAATCTTTTTCAGTTTTCCATCTTCTCAAATTGGAACAGGGGCAACTGATAGCATTCTGCTTTGAAAGTGGGCGGAGGTGGGAATAATGCTCATAGATTTTGTGTATAGGTTAACCACTGCATGTGGTTTTAGTAGTGAATTATGTAAACATTTTAAAATGAAAGTATATTCTCTTTAGGGGTCGATATAGAGGCAGCTAGGAAAGAAGAAGAACGGATAATGCTTAGAGATGCAAGACAGTGGCTTAACAGCGGTCATATAAATGATGTTCGGCATGCAAAATCTGGTGGTACAGCTCTTCATGTAGCTGCTGCTAAGGGATATACAGAAGTCTTAAAGTAAGTTGAGTTTCTAATGCAGATTTTTATAAAATGTGCTGTTAGAAGGTTCTGTAATCTACAGCTTTTTTATTCACATATTCAACTGTGTGAGTTTGGAGATGATATCTTAAAACTGCTGATGACCATTTAGTTAATACAGAAATGTTGAGCATAGATTTAGCCAATGTCAAAAGAACAAAAATATCAAATTATTAATGGGTTTACTTGGGCATTAGGTGTCCAGCAGTGTGACTTGAACTCATATAAAAGCTTATGGTGTGGCTCATTCCTCCATCTGATGCCCAGAAGTTCTGCTGCCTTAGTACATGTTTGTTGGCAGTTTGGAACCTCATGTGAAACTACATAGTGCATTCTTCATCAGTTTTGGTAATATTCAACAGTGTAAAAATCAATAGTTTATATGATAAAATGCACATTTACTGTGTTAAGTTTTTCACTATGCATGACACTGAGAATTTAGGCAAAACCTGTACTTTTCAGTTTAATGCCACTTTTAAAATTTGCTGATACTATTCTTAATCTAACATCAAATCTTCAGACTTTTAATACAGGCTGGCTATGATGTAAATATTAAAGATTATGATGGCTGGACACCACTTCATGCAGCTGCTCACTGGGGTAAAGAAGAAGCATGTCGAATATTAGTGGAAAACTTGTGTGATATGGAGGCTGTCAACAAAGTGGTAGGACATCTGTGCAATTTTTGTCAAAATGCAAACTTCTGTGTGTATTTGACCGGAAGGAATAGGATAACAAATGTGTTAGTTGTGTGTAGGCACTTGCTGTAAATCTTACCAGAACCAATATTTAGAGGAAAGTAAAACCAAGCTAAAATAATCCCCTTTCCCCAACCTGTAATAGTCCAAAACATCTGGAGGAGAACTTCCATCCTGATGATTGGTCATACTTACTAAGGCTGATGTGACATAAAGTCCAACAAATCTGGGCACCAGGTTGGGGAATGCTGCTGTAGTACATCATTTGAGCAGAGAGTCTGTTTAGCCCTTCTTTCTCCATCAGCCTCCCTTATGGTGGTGGTTGCAAATTTCCCTGTGTGGTAAAGTGTTGTGCTTGTTTATCTTGCAGTATGTTTCTGGGGATGTTATAATAGCTTTCCAGACCATTTGCACACTGACCAGGTTTGGACAACATGCTGCAGCTCCCTGTATGTTTTTTAATCCTTGATGAAACTGCATATGCATTTTTCACTCAGGGGCTGTCTTGGTGTGTGAACTCAGCAACTCTGGGATAGACAAGCCTCCCACACCCCTAAAACAGCCCTTCACGGCAGGCTCCTATGTTATGTAAACAATCCACTGTGAGATACACTGTTTTTATACTTGGTGGTGTACATGATTTATCTTGTACCAAAATATTAAATATGTGTGAAGCAGTCTTTCATATGTCTGTGGGATAGCTGATTGAATTATATCAAAGTGAGAATTTAGTGTGATTGGAAAATGTAGGTTGATTTTCCCTTCACCATATCTTTTGATCATGGCCAGATATTTCAAACATGTCAAGTGTCCTGCAGGTTATTGAGAGTATAATTCCTTCAGTTCTAGCCTACATGGTCAGTGGCTGGGAATGATGGAAATTGCACTTTGACACATCTGGAAGGCTCCAAGTTTGGAAGTGCTGATATCCATAGCATCTCTCACAATTAATAGTTTGCCATCTCAGGTAATTTAACAGTGACCTGGTTCACACGATCAAAACAGCCACTAAGGCACATGTTGGTATGTGCTAAATGAGACTTGCATATTCAGCATCTGACTGCAGATTGTTTTACATGCCAACCCAGCATGGGACAGTACATGGGACAGTAACCCAGGGACAGTGCATTAAGCAGTCCAGCAAAACAGGTGGGTTCTTTGATGGTTGTTAACCTGCCCATGCTGTAGCCCACTGTGGCTTAAGCACATCACAGTGGGTTGTTACATCATGCAAAGCAGCCCAATTGATTTCTAAAAATACGCCTTTAAAAAAGCAAGCAGTTAATTCATTAAACACAGCTACTGAAGCATAGAAACACAAGAAATGGTTCACATGTCATGGCAGCTTATTGGATAAACAACCCATGGGTTGTCTCACATGAGCAAAAGAGGCAGCATCCCCCCCCCCCCTTTGGTTGGCTCCTTCCTACCTACCTACCTACCTGCCTACCTTCTTACCTTCTTTCTTGCAACCCACAGTTGGCTCTAATATAGGTTGTTTATTTTGTCATCTGCATCTGGTGTACTGGGTTTTTTAGGGACTTGACAACAAGCCATGGGACTGTTAATTTAGCCAAATACCTATTAATTGAAAACTTTTGTGTCTGATATTAATATTGGCAAAGTTTTATCAGGAACATTTCACACACATTCACTGAATAAACTGACAAGACCAGATAGGAATAAAGACCATATAGTAATTTGTACTTGAGGAAATACTTGAGATGAAAGACATGGGACTGGTTATCACAAACATGCCTACTGAAAAATAGGAATCTGTAAATGTGGTCCAGTGTAAGAGCCTGTGTAAAAATTTGTACTGGTAGTGGTGAAAGAATGATACAGTATCTTTGGAGATATGGTACATGTAGGTAATTTGTAAATTTGTCAGATTTGTTAAGAAATTATACTATGTTAAAATAAAACCTTATTTCTTTCCCAAGTGTTAGGGAAGAGTGGAATGGGCAAAGGAAGTATATGCCAGTCTAGCTAATACTGTTTCCAGCACAAAAAATGCTGTTTAAGATTTATGCCTTAAGGATACATGCAAATAAAAATGCATATTATAGTATTTTCTATGAAGGCTGACAATATGAGAAACAAGCAGTAGCCAAATAAAGGCATCAGTGAATAAAGGTGCAGCAGGAAAGATTTCAGAAGTTAGCAGTGCATGTCAGTGTTTACTTATACTCAAACCCTCCCCTTCCTCACAATATTAAAGCAGACTGAACCTACAGTGTGTAACTATTAGAGAATATGTTCCAGTGCAACTCTCTTCTGTGAATTATGAAGTTATCCATGAAAACCCTTAGGAAAACGCTACTGTGTCATTGTGTTAGTTTGTATTACATTACCCTTACATAGGAGTAGATACCACAATGCCAGCATTGTACTAGAGGTCCTTTGCACTAGCACAATAATATGATGATATGGATATGACCCCTTCTTTTCTTGTTTTGATCAATTCTTAAAACCATGTGGGTTCCCTCAATTTAACTTCCAGTTTGTCCACCAGAATATCCCCAGTCACAGCTAGTGTGAGATTTCCTGTTCCCAGCAAAATTGTAAACTTGTTGAGTTACAGTTGTCCAAATGCGAACGTGGAATAACTAATTTATGAAGTATATGGAAGCAGGTGCAATTTAGGTTTTGATTTTTGCTTTTTTTCCAAACTGCAACGTGGAAGAACCCGCACACAACCAGACAGTGTTAAGGAGTCCATAGAATTAGAAGGGAACTTGTAGGCCTTCTGCTTGATGTAGGAAATTCAGAGCTAGAACCTTCCCAACAGAAGTCTCTGCAGCTTTTGCTTGAATATCTCCAGTGAGAGAAAGGCCAGTAACCTGTGGTAATCAGATCCATTGTCAAACTGCTATTACCATCAAGAGGTTCCTCTTAGCATTCAACTAAAATATACTATTTTGTAACTTAAGCTGATTTAGATGCAGTCCTACCTTCTGGGATAGCAGTGAGCAAGCATTTGCCCTCCCCTCCATGACAGCCATTCAGGTGATGGAAGAGTGTTGTCATGTTAGTCTTCTCTCTTCCACACTAACATACAATTTTTCATAATCAAATCTCATATTCCTCACCATCTTCATTACTGTCTTCTGAGCTATATCAGTTTCTTTACATCCTTAAACTGCATTGCCTAGAACAGGACAAAACATTGCAGATGAGGTCTGAGTGGTGCAAATAAAGTGGAGCTATTATCTTATTATGTCTTAGAAGCAGGTCAGAATACCTACTGAAAAATATGACCTTGAAAATATTGCATTTGGTTGCCTTTAGGAACAGTACTTGGTTTCCTGTTGTTTGGTAATTTTATTAAAATCTCTGGGAAGTGAAACCACTGATGTTCTGAACCCCTGCAGCATACTTTAAATACTTAAAGTATTTAAGTATATAGTGTTTAACTATAGCATACTTAACCCCTCCCTTTCCTATTCACAAATGTAAACCTATCACACAGAGACTAGTCAAATAGTGTTCTTTGCATTGAGACTGCTTGTTAAATAGGCTCCTTGATAGTATCATTCCTTGTACTGTTTATATGATCATATAATTGTTCAGTTAATTGCACAATAATTTTATATGTTGCTTATTTCTCCTGCAGGGCCAGACAGCATTTGATGTAGCAGATGAAGATATTTTAGGGTATTTGGAAGAGCTACAAAAGAAACAAAATATGGTAAGCTCTTTCAGAATGGCAGGAACAAAAAAAGTTTATGGGTTAATGGACAATGCTCACTGTTATTGTCATAAACATTGTTAGTTTATGACAATAAACTAAGTCATGCCACTGGTTCATCTAATGCAACAGTGTCTGCTTGACTACAGGTAGCTATCCAGGACTTCATGTTATAGTTTTTCAGTGGTAGGTATTAGGATTAAATTTGGTATATTTTGCATGTGAAACCACTAAGTCTTCTCTTTAGTTTATGTCCACTTGCCTTCTGGAAGTGGTATTTGGTTATTACTGTTTGGTGAATAGTGTTCCAGTAAAGGTTCTTTTCCTACTTACTCAACATACCTCCACTACCCTGTTCGGGCAAAGTAATCACCAGTGTCCTGTACATAAGGGTTTTATGACTTGCATAAACACACACACACACACACAGAAATAAGTTGTAAAGCTCTGATGTCAAAATTCAGCAGATAGTTTACATCAGAAGGAAAGTCATGCAGAAACTGTTAATTTAATTACACTTAAATGAACAACTCAAATATGAATGTGCTCAAGTGAGTGGATATTGAGTGAGTAAAAAGTTAGAGCATAGGAGAAACTTACTATTACTCTTACTGTGGGCAAAGAAATTTATGACATGGAGACCAGGGCAGGAGACTGACCACCAGAGAAGATGGGATGATAGCAAGTTGCATGCCATTGCATCTTCTCAGATACCTGGTTGCTCATTTACCCAGCTTGCTTGACCCAACAGACAGAATGGGACATATCCTAGATTTAGTATTTTCCCTGAAGGGTTTTGAGAGTTGATGACAGGGCTTTAAAAATATTCATTATTGTGCTTGTTATGGGGCACTCAAGTCTTAGTCATAATCCCTCGTGGACAGGAATAACTTGACCACAATGAAACACGTATTGATAATTTCAGGACTGGACTACTGTAGTGTGCTTTATGTGGGGCTACCCCTGCAATTGGTTCAGGAGCTTCTGTTGTGCAGAATACATTGGTTAGATTGCTCAGTAGAGCTTTGTGTGGTGCATGTCTTACACTTGTGCTGAAAGCCAATTAGCAACATAGGTCATATTCAGGTGAATGTTCTTGTACAATTTCATTTTATGGAGTTACTGAATGTTCGCAGGCCATATTTTGAAAACCCTTTATTCCTCATTATGTCAAAAGCATTAATTGGGCAAGGATTTTTTCTATGTGTTTATAAGAACATAAGGAAAGCCATGCTGGACTCAACCAATGGTCCCTCCACTCCAGTGCTCCATCCACATGATGATAAGCCAGCTGTTTGCAGGACCTCTCAAACAGGATAGATACAAGAGTCCAACTTGCCCAAGCTCCTCAGCAGCTGATGTACACAGGTGGTAATGGAGATGGCACATAGCCAGCACTGATAGTCCCCTTTTAAAACTACCCAAATTGATAGCCATCAGTACCTCTTGTGGCAGTGAATAATTTAACTGTGTGTTGTGTGAAGAAGAACTTTGATCCATCCTAAGTCCCTTGCCAATCAACTTCATGGATTCTAGTTTTGTAGAAAGAAATAAAAAAGTCTTCCTTTCCACTTTCTCCACACCATACACATTTTTAAACACGTTCATTATGTCTCCCCTTACTTAACTTTTCTTTAAGCTAAGCAGTTCCAGTGGTTGTACCCATTCTAATAGGAGAGTTGTTTCAACGCCTTTGTCGTTTTAGTTGTTCTTCTCTGCACTTTTTCCCTACCCAATAATGCCCTATTTCAGGTAAGGCGACCATAACTGTACGCAGTGTTGCAAGTGAGGTCATACCAAAGGTTTGTGTACAGGTTAGGGTTAGGATTTTGGAAGATTTATTTTCAGTTCCTTTTCTAAATATGCCTAGCATGAAGCTTGCCTTCTTCATAGCAACTGTGCACTGGACGGGCATTTCCATCAAACTGCTTACTACAATCTCAAGATCCCTTTCTTGATTTGTTGCTGGTAGCTCACATACCATTAGTGTATACTTGAATCTCAAATTCTCCCCCTGCCCCCACATACATTACTGTACACTTGCTTATATTGTACTGCATTTGCACTTTGGAGGCTCATTCTCCCAGCTTGGAGAGATCTCTCTGGAGCACCTCATAATCACTTGGTTTCAACCACCCAAAATAGTTTTTGTCATCAGCAAATTTGGCCACTTCATTGTTTATGAGTAGGTTGAAAATTATTGGTCCTAATAGAGAACCCTGTAGGATTACACTGGCTACATCCCTGCATAGGGACAAATTACCATTTATTCCCACTCTGCTTTCTGGTCTTTAATCAGTTACTGATCTGTAGAGGATCTCTTCCCCCCACCCCCACCCCCCCAGGGGTTTTTTCCGCTCAGAAACTGTAAAAGGTTAGTGAAACAGGACTTAGCTTTGCTAAAAAAAAAAAAAAAGAAAAAAAAAGAAGATAGCTTCTGCAAGGCTAGAAAGCAGGGCTTTTCCTGCTATGTGCTGCTTCTCTCTTTCAAGTAGACTTTCAAGTAGGTCTACCCAGAACACTCATTGAGCTAACTGACCTGTAATTCCTTAGATCCCCTCTGGTTCCCTTTAAAAAAATTGTGTTATCTTTTTCCTCTGATACGGTACTGAGGCTGATCTTAGGGACATACTGAATATTGGTAAGGGCAGTGACTGTATAATTGAGTTAACAGCTCTAGAATGGATAGCATCTGGGCCATGTGGTTTCCTGACTTGCAGTTGCTAAATATGGTTGAAAATTTCATCTTTTGTCACTGCACTAATTTCTCCCACTCCCTTCTAGAATACATAAATTCAGGAACAGGTATCTGCTCTGTATCCTTTGCTGTAAAGACAGATGGAAAATAATTCATTTAGCTTCTCTGCACATTCCTTATCCTCCTTTTGTGTTCCTTCAATTTCATTATCATCCAGTGGCCCAACTGCTTCTCTAGCTGGTTTCTTACTTCTGATATATCTAAACAATTCTTTATTGTTGGTCCTGATGTTGTTAATGATATGCTCTTCTGTGTTTGCTTCTTGTATTGTCTGCATGCATCTCCTCAGCACAAGCTTGTCCTCCTTTTATTTTCCTGATTTGGGCAAGGTTTCCATTTGTTAAATAAGCTCCTCCTCCTCCTCCTCCTCCTCCTCCATAGCTTCCTTGGCTATACTTGTTAACCGTGCCAGAGACCTCCTGAACTTCATGCTACCTTTCCTCAAGTATGCAGGTTGTCTGCGCTTCTATTATTGTGGTTTTGAGTAATTTCCAAGCATTTTGAAAGGACTTAGCCCTCTTGACCCCCTTTTACAGCTTCTTTTTTACCAGTTTCCTGATTTTAGAAAGGTTTCCTCTTTTGAAGTCAAATGCAACTGTGTCAGTCCTCTTTAGCAATTTTCCGACTAACTGAATATTAAATCTGATAGTGCTGTAGACACTGTTTCCAAGTGGTTCAACAACGCTTTCATCCTGTACTATGTCTTGGGCAACCCCACCTAGGATTAAATCCAGGATTGCCTCCCTTCTGGTTGGTTCCATGATGAACTGCTTTAGTGTAAAGTCATTTAGGACAGTGAAAAATTTAATCTGTCTGTCAGAACTAGAACATATGTTTATCTAGTTAGTGTGCTGATAGTTGAAGTCACCCAGTATTACAGGACTACTTTTTTTTTTTTTTTTGAGGTCTCCATGATTTCATTCTGCATCTTAAGATACCCTAAGTATTCTGGTCTGGAAGATAATAACATATTCCTATAACTAAATTAGTTTTGGAACCAGGAATTGTCACCATAGTGCTTCTGTGGAGGAGTCTTCATAGTTTAGATTATCAAGTTTGCTGGACTAGATGTCCTCTTCAGTGCAGAGAGTAATACCTCCTCTAGTATGCCCTTCCCTGTCCTTCCTATACAGTTTATATCCAGATATGACAGTATATGTTGGGAATGAGAAAGATGGCTGCTTGGAGCACACATTCTCAAGTGTTGCTGGTTAGGATTCAGAAGAATAAGAAGGGGGAGAGCAGAAGAGGGGCCTGGGAAAATGGGCCATCCCAAGACACTGAGATGAGATAAGCAGAGAGGCTTATCTCAAGGCCAGACTCCCCAACTGAGCAGGCAGTCTTTGAGAATAACCAAGATGTACAGTTGGCAAGAGGGGGCCTGGAGCAGGGGAGTTTCTCAGACACAGACCTCGACTCTAGATCCCATGATGCATTGATGCAGAGGAAGGCAGCCCAATTAGATGGTCAGTGTACAGAAAGGAGATGTGTTGGTTTTCAGAAAGTTCCTGATGAAGGAATGGACATTCATAAGAGAGAGCCAGTGTGGTGTAGTGGTTAAGAGCATGGGACTGGGACTCAGTCTGGGTTCTAGTCCCCGCTCAGCCATGGAGCCAACTGGATGACTTTGGGCCAGTCACAGACTCTCAGCCCAATCTACCTCACAGGGCTGTTGTTGTGGGGATAAGACGGAGGAGGAGAATGATGTAAGCTGCCTTGAGCCCTTTGTAGGAAAAAGGCAGGATATAAATCGAAAAATAAATAAAAAATGAAATAAAATTAGAATTGTTCCTGGAGATGAATATTAAATCAGGTTCAACAAACCACTCTGTGTATGCTCAGAGATTCATTCTGGGTATTTTGTGCTTTTGGTCAATAAAGAATGATTTGCATGGAAAAGTGATGTGACTTTGAATGAGCAAAGGAGAAAACTCAGGTCCTGACAGTATCCCATAGGTTTTTTCCATTCCACCTGGTTTCATCCTGTCTACTATATCTAGCTTTTCCTTAAAAAACCAGGCACTCCAGCTCTCCCATGTGGTCCCTGAGGCTTCTGGTATAGAAACACCTAAGCACAGCATTCTTCTCCAGACTTGTACAGTGTATGTTCTCTCAAACAGATGATCATATCTTGCCATATTTTCTTTCCATTTGGGCTGTCAGAAAATTTCCCAGCTCCTATTTTCATGTTCTCAGGGTTCAGTTTAAAAGCTGCTTCTGCTGCCGTTTTTTTATGTTACATGCCAGCAGTCGGGCTCTTTTCTGGTTCAACTGGAACCCATCCCTCCTGTATAAGCCCAGCTTGTCCAAAATTATTCAAATCTGCCTAACAAATCTGAACCCCTCCTCTCTACACCACTGCCTCATCTGAATAAATCTGAATGGCCCTGCCTCAATCAGGGACATTCAGCTTGAGTACAACCCTTGCAATGTTCTGCTTAAAGTTTGCTTGCCCTTGTAATTTAGAAATGAAAAGAACAGAATCACATTCTAATTGATTTTTTAAAAGTATTACACCAGAAGGTTAAAGGAAGTTGTAAATTACATAGTCAAGTAATATTTGGGCAACATTTCAGTAACAAGGCTCCTTATCTTTGAATACTTTATAATGATATGTTAACTTCCAGTGACTTACTTCCTGTGATGTTTATGTTTGTACTTTTGATTATAGAAAGCTTATTAGATCTTCTTATCTCTTAAAGCTCCATAGTGAAAAAAAGGAAAAGAAATCACCCTTAATTGAATCTACAGCTAATATGGACAATAATCAGCCTCAAAAGACATTTAAAAAGTAAGTTGATGAATTAAAATGATGTGTATTTGGTGGGAAATTTGAAGGTGATAAAGAGTTGAATTGGAAGGTGCAGGGGAAGGATAGGAAGGAGTAGAGTTTTGGTTGTTGTCACAGCCTACCCTGATACCCAGACTTTTGCTGAAACTAGCAATGAAATATTTTGTGCTCCAAAACCATGTTGTTTCAGTAAAGAGACATTGATCATTGAGCAAGACAAGAATGCATCAAACATAGAGTCTCTAGAACAAGAAAAAGCTGATGAAGAGGAAGAAGGAAAGAAAGATGAGTCCAGTTGCTCTAGTGAAGAAGATGAAGAAGACGACTCAGAATCTGAAGCAGAAACAGGTATATGGAACAAGCATTTTGCTTTCATTTCTTCCAAATTTCCTTATGCTTCTTTGTTTCTGGAAATTTGCAAGTTTTAATAGTTGTGAATTTATAGTCTTGGGGGAACCTGTTTGCATTTGTGTAGTAGCCATTTAAATAGACTAATTAGTCAACAGCTTAACAGACTACAGTAGAAAGCTGGTTTGCAAACTCCACACACAGCAGCACTGATCGTCACTGGCACAAGCACCTGTTACTTGGTAGGGAGCAGTAAGTGCTGCGTCCCATCAATTGCTTGCCCAGAACACAGCCCATATCCTCTGAACATCTCCCCCCCCCAAAAAAAACCCTGTATATATTTGTTAAGCAAAATGGTAGCTGCTTTGTTCTATGACATTAATAGAGCCAAAATCCATTAATAGGTAGGGTGGTGGTGGTATGGTTTGGTAGTTAGTTTTTGGACTGTGGATCTGGGAGATCCAGGATCTAGTAACCTTCAGCCATAAGCCCACTGGGTGAGTCCAGGCCAGTCACTCACTCTGAACCTAACCTACCTCACAGGGTTGTTTTTGTGAGAGTAAAATGGACCTGTGTAAGCCACCTTTGGTTTTTTGCAGGAGGAATGTAGTAGTACCAGCTTGCAAGAAAAACAAGATGTTGTATTACATAGTACTGGCAGGCACAATGGGAAGGCAGCGCATCTGAATTATATTGTGTTATTTATATAGAAATGTATTTACACTGTCCTAAGTAGGCTTCCTTGGTGACAGGTTTCATCAGTTTTGGAGCAACATATCACCAAAATAAGATTGTTTGGAATTATAGCTGGGATCATTGAAGCTGAAGGGTAGTGTGAAGGATAAATGACTAATGCGCACCAAGCTTCTCTTGATGGGGAGTACTTTCCAAGTTGATGGGGAAGACTGAAGGTGTGCCTAGAAATGACCTTCCATTTTTTTCCAGCTCATGTAGTTGGTGGCAAAAAATCAGCTGCTGCTTTTGGAGTTGAACATAGTTGGAGAGGAACTTTATTACTTTTTGTCTTTCATTAAGAGGACATACCATCTTCACGCATACAGACAGTGCAGATCATTCTATCTTAAAATAAACTGTAAATGAACCATATGCAATAGACTCACTGGAAGTCATAAAGAGAGGCTCACATGAATTAAAAAATTATGCATGATGCATTAGAATCTGTATATAATACATCTCTATCCATATCTCAGAGCTATTAACAGTAATATGTGAATTAACCCTGAAAAGCCTTCATATTTTGCATTGCATTGCAAAGTGCAGTTAGAGTCTTGCAGAAACCTCTCTCCTTTCCCTTTCTCCATTACTTACATGTTGAGTTTAAATAATTGAAAGGCTCTACGCTTATCTCACTTAAATAGCAAGCTCTTAGTTGGAGGGTCTCATTTTAATATATCTAGATGTTTTCCATTAGCAGCTTAGTGTTTCGGACTCCTCACTTCACCATTTCTTATATGACTCCATTACTTTGTTTTCTTTGTTGCTACTATGTAGTCTTGTGCCAGGAAAATATGACTGTGACACAAGAATTAATTTATGTAAACTTAGAGGTTTTTAAATATCAACAAGGCGTTCATCATACTTTATTTGGCATGCTACAGAACTTAGGCTTTTCCCTGGAGCTGAATCTCTGTGTTCCAAATTTGTACTTTCCCCCTTTTTCCCATTATTCATTTTAAGGTGGATTTACAGTTAAATGTTTTGGTACTTGAAAGCTTGTGACTGTATTTGAGCATAGTTTTGATGCATCCTTTCTTTTGTATGCATTTAAATTCAGATTTAATGGTTTGAAAAATAGTAGAGTTCTAAAGAAGCTTACATGTATTTTCTTCATACACATGAAGAAATGCAAGGAAGCAAATTTAATCACTGTTCAGTTGCTTTGTTAAAATTAAAAATTAAAGCAAAAAATATTTGTAATAAAATAAATGTGCAAAACAAAGACAGAGGTTTCCTTTACCTGCCAGTTTTGCTCCAGTTTGCTTAAGTAATGTACATGTGCTGATGTGTGCAAATTGCAGGCTGGATCATGCCCATAATATGTTAAAATAACAGTAAAATACACATTAATTATACTTAAATTACAGCAGTAGTGGGTCCTCCCATATTTACTTACCTGGACTTAAGGTCATCATTTGAGCCCTTCACTTGCATGCCCCTGCCGTATAAGGTTCCAAGACATGTGGACCTTTTCAGTATTGGTGCTCCATCTGTGGAATGCCCTTCTCAGAGAGGCTCACATGTTGTCCATATTATGGTCTTTCTGGAGTCAGGTTAAGATCTTTTTATTTTCCCAAGCATTTTAGGAACTGTTTCATGCTTTTAGATCTTTGCACTATTCTAACAGCTGGCCTTATTTTTTGTCTTTATTGTATGTTTCAATGAACTAGTTCACATGACATAACAGGCTCACCAGGGTTTATTTAATCCATGGCAGTGTGGACACCATTATGAATACACACCCCCTAACAGGTTTGTGATCTGTCACCTGAATTTGGCTACCTTGGGTAATTCTAGGATTAAACAATCTTCGCATAGCCTTTGCTTTATAGCAGAGTTACACAAAGGTTGTTCAACCTTAAATAACCCAAAGTTGCTGGGCGATACACTCCAATCCCAGAAAAGGTTGGATATTCATAATGATGGCCCACATGTCCAGCACAGAGTGAGCCTTGCATGTTATGTGAACCAGTCCACTGTTTTTATACCTGATTTTATCTAAGATTTATCATGAATTGTTTTACCACCATTGTTTCACTAGCTTGCATTTTAAAATATGTCTGTACACTGCCCAGAGAACATACACAGTCTAAAATTAAACTTTTTTCATTGTTGTATCTTTAATTTGACAGGGCCTTAAATTATGTTCATAAAAATGTTTCTGGTTTTAAACATAATGGAAAATTATTGTTCATCACTCTGAGACCAAGACAAGGCAAATCTTGGGGTCACCTGCACTTCTCCCCTTGTTTCAGTGTAGGGAAAACATTGAAAGTTTTTGCTTTTAGTGTTAAACCAACCACAGCTCACTGTTGTATCTGAACTTTGAGCATTGTATAGCTGGCACATGATGCTTTCAGATCCCATGCTTCATGGGGGAGGGGCAGGCTGTACAGAGGATAACTAATGTTTTTACAGACTGAGTCTTTTAACAGTCTCAAATTTTCAAGAAACTTCCTTTGCTTTTCATATTCAATACTTTGTAAGATGTGGGCAGGAGTCCCTGGGACAAAAGTTTCTGGGACTGTATACTAGTGGTAGGTGTGGCTGGAACTGGTAGTAGGCAGAACTTGAGCCTGCAGTGAGCACAAACAAATCCAAAAGTGTGTGTTTGGAGGGGGCACCCCTTTTCTCTTTCTGCTGCTTCTTACTCTCTCAGTTATTTATTTATTTATTTATTTATTTATTTATTTATTTATTTATTAAAACATTTTTATGCCGCCCCATTCGCCGAAGCCTCGGGGCGGCTTACAACAAAAAATTAAAATAACATTTTAAAATATATACAATAAAATACAAATATATAATATAAAACATACACTATAAAACAAGCCCCCCTGGCCAAATAAAATTCAATAATATTAACATTTAAAATACTGCTTAAATAAAAAGGTCTTCGCCTGGCGCCGAAATACAAATAACGACGGCGCCAGGCGGACCTCTCTGGGGAGCGCATTCCATAACTTAGGCGCCACCGCTGAGAAAGCCCTCCTCCGAGTAACCACCCTCCTAACTTCTTCCATGGAGGGCTCCCGGAGAAGGGCCTCTCCCGCCGATCTCAGGGGGCGACTGGGCATATAAGGATGTAAGCGCTCCTTCAGGTAACCAGGACCCAAGCCGTTTAGGGCTTTATAGGTCATAACCAACACCTTGAATTGGGCCCGGACTTCAATGGGAAGCCAGTGAAGCTGACGGAGAACTGGAGTCATGTGAACATAACGTCCAGTCCCCGTCAGCAGCCTGGCAGCTCTATTTTGGACCAATTGAAGTATCCGGACCGTCTTCAAGGGTAGCCCCACGTAGAGCGCGTTACAGAAGTCCAAACGGGAAGTCACCAACGCATGTGTCACTGTCGCAAGGCAGTCATTCTCCAGATAGGGGCGCAGCTGATGAATTAGCCGAAGCTGGAGGAAAGCGCTCCTCGCCACTGCTGTTACCTGAGCTTCCAGTGAAAGCTCTGGGTCGAAGAGCACTCCCAAGCTGCGGACCTTGTCCCTAAGAGGGAGTGCAACCCCATTCAGGACAAGGTTCAATTCACCCTCTCCGAAGCCCGATCCACCAACCAACAGGACCTCCGTCTTAAACCATCATTCATACACATTCCATCTGCAAACTAATCAGGATTCTGAGAGGATCTCCCCCTACCCTTAGCATGACTCAGATGATCACAAGGGGAAGAGATGGAAAGAGGGGGCTGTTATAGGGCTCTGTAGCCAACCTCTGCCTGCTGATCAGTATGTATTGGCTGAAAAGCCACAGAGCCAGAGAAGGCGATTATGGGGGAGAGAAGTCAGAAACTGGCAGGCTGGCTGAAGAAGCCCTGTACTACCCCCATCCCTTGTTATTTTACATCCATTCTTAGTATATCTTGAGACTGTCTGCAACCATAACAACTAGAAACTTAAAAATACAGTACTTAAGCAAATTTTGGATTTTGAATAAGTGCCTTTGATGTTTTAATAGAATTGCCTATTACTGTAGAACACCCGAAGTAGATATTTGAATATCTTAGACCCATACTCATGCTCTATAAATATGCTTTCAGATAAAATGGAGTATAATCTAGGCTTCATTTTATAGGCAGTAATGGAAGTAAATGCAATAAAACACTCTGTTATAGTATTGCCAGGCTTTAGTACTGAGTGCTTGCGTCAGAAATGGAAAAAAGCACTTTTTGTGTTCATTATGATACTGTAAATCTTATTCTGTAAAATAGGCCTCTCCATACTCTAGAAAGTATTAGCAGTATTTAAGTGCCTTTTTAATTACTTCAAACTTCAAATGTTTCATTTGTAGAAAAGAACAAACCTACAACAAATAATTCAAATACGACCAATGTGCAATCTTCTCCTATAGCTGTGACAACACCATCAGTTACTACTGGTCAAGTGGCACCAACCTCCCCTATTAAGAAGGTAAAACAGACTTTGATTCAGTTTTTGGTACTATAAAGAGTTAAGTGAATGTATGTTAATTGTACACACTTTGAAATATTAAAAGCAATGCCTTGATTAATCAAGGTAAATTTTATGCTTCTTGAAAGTATGGAACTATCTTTTGAAACTTTTGGATTTTTTTACAGTGACTTAAGTGATTCTCTAATGCAATGGTATAAGGCCTTGAATTCTATTACAAGAAAGAAAGTTGCTTGATCAGAGTTATGGTTGTAATATGCCAATTACTGGGGCAGCTGGCATGGAACACATGGGCTTAAGTATTTTATTGTGTCAAGTTACTGAAATAGTGTCTCATTTGAAATATGAGAACACCATGTATGGATTCTAAAACAAACAAAAAAGTGCAACCATGTACAGATGCTAGATTGAAATATATTGTTTTCTTCCCAGGGCAGAACTCTGTCTGAAGGAGGTTGCATTCAGTAACACAATTTTTGAGCACATGGAAGTGTCCTCCCAGCCACCATTCCCAGCAGCCAAACCTCTTCACTGCTTGCTGCTGGCAGCAACAGGACATGTAGGAAAGAGGTGTCGTGAGCAGGTGTGCCAGGCACCCTTCACAATGATCAGACTTCTTTCCCTATTGCCAGTGGTGTTGGGTGGAATGCAGGAAAAGGGGGTATAGCATGTGCAGCTCATTGGACTCTATTGCCAAGCACCCCACAAATGCTGGGTATGCTCTCCAGGAACTTGAACCCAGCTTCTGCAAAGTGTAAGGGAGCCTGGGAAGCCAAACCCAAGGAATCTGACAGATTCTTACACATCCTAAATCCAAACCCTGAAGTGCTTCTCTCTAAACACTTACTCAGAGATGAGAAGGATAAAGCTTGATGAGTGCCAGTTATAACATAAAGGATTCTCTGACCTGGCTTTTTTATCAGTTTATTTACGCCAACTGCCTGCAGACACTTTGCATGGCATCCACAAGTATGCAAGTTACTATGGCTTGTCACATCCTGAGAAACAACACAGAAGGGGCTGATTGAACACTGGACAGCCCTAAAACAAGTCATAGACTATGTGAAAACTTTCTAACTCACAATCAATCACTGCTGCCTGTATTTGCAGAAAAAGACAAGCCAGATACCAAAAGAAATGGAATAGTATCCATGAGTTAATTATACCATGGTGAATTGTTGTGTCATGCAAACCAAGTCCCTCATTTTCTTTTCCTACTATCATTATTATTTGGCAAACATCTAGGAAAGTCTCACAGTAGTAAGACAGGGGCATCATTAACTGGTGGTGAAACATGGAGCTTGGGAGTAGGTAGAGGCATGGGGAGAATGAGAGGTGATACCATAGCAGCTGTTTACAAAACTGATCCAAAATACCAAGTTCTGGGGAAGTAAATGGAAAAGAATAACAACTAGGACAGGTCCATATTAATATTCTTGACCAGGTCAAGATGTTTATGAAGCAAAATTTGTCAGTATCAGTTTATTCTCTTTGGTAAACATAAAGCCACAGATCCATTTTTTATGCCTACCTGGGTTCTGTCTAATATGGTTTGAGTGGAGGTCCTCTTGTGCAGCGAGACTTCTTCCCCTCCTTTTTAGGGTAGTCTCCTTCAGAGACAAATGTTGTAGGAGTGGTGTTTTGGGAGATTTCCTTTTCAGAGAGCCATAAGGTAGGTGGTGGCAGCAATTGGTCAATGGGGGAGATAGTGGTGATTGCAGTATAGCAACCAGGGTGGAGTGCTTTTTTCATGCACCTCAGGTGCCTGAAGAGTTTGCACCTCCACTGGATAAATCCTTCAAAGGAAAGAGAAGTAGCATCCTGACTCTGCTACATTTGTTTTTTTCACTGCCTTCTTGTTTCATTTTCATTATTCCTTATTTATGGCTTAGTCCCTCACATTTGGGGAATACATTTTCAGTTCTAACATTTCAGAGATAGAGAATCACTGTCCACTGTTTCCTCTTCCAGCCTTATCGTTAGTCTAAGTTCTCTGAACTAATCATAGGCTGACATGCTCTTTCTTTTTCCCTGCCCAGCCTTCTCATTCATTCTTCACACACGTGTGCACACACAAAAAGGGAGCACTTTCTTAGGCAGAAAAGGTTTAAAATTGCATTAGAGCCCCATTCACTTATTGACATGAGAGGAAAGAAGATAAGCCTTATTTATGATGGGTTCTTGCAATTTGAAGGAAAAAAAGCTGTTTAGTCTTGGGAATCCACAACTTCATAACTAAATAAATGCCTCAAAGGGGAATTTGTAGAAACACAGTTGTGAAGTTGATTCTGTCTTCTGTCTCTCACACTACCCATTGAGAGACAGGTAACAAGAGTGACAGTCTCTACAGAGTGATGTCATCCTATTAAAACACAAATACTAATTTTCATGGTTGTTAAACTACAAGGCATGAGTCACACTATCATCTCCTGTTGTTTTCCTATTCAATTTAGGCAATGGTACATGCTTATGTAAACCTGAGGAACTGCTATTCTGGTGCCTGAAGTTGTGTGTGAAAGAGAAAGTGGGTGCTAATCTATCATTCCCATTCCTTGACCTCCCTTTTCTTTCTCCTTTCCTATTCCTACATACGCTGTTCTCCCCGCTCTGCTTTCTCTCTCTCCCTCTCTCCCTTTCTTCCTGTCTGTGTGGCAGTGTTTACATGGAGAGGGGAGAGCTGAACTGGATCTCTTTTGAATTTGCTATTCTTCCTGCCAAGGATATGGGTACCCCCTCATAACACTCCTCTGAAAGTTCACATCTCTGCTTGTATATGTTTATAATTCTGTGACTGTGAGCTCTTTTGTGAAACAAAGCTTTAAGACTGGAAAAAACCCTACTGCTTTTTGAAGTTCTATGAAATGTAAATAGTAATTCAAATATGTAGACTCCCACCGCTGCCACATCTATCATATTCTTTTAAATTTTATTTTTATATGTCTTGTCCAAATTGGCTTTAGTATGACTTTCTTCCTACTGTCATGCCTGTGGTGGACTCTGTAGATCCTGCATCATGGAGGCAGGGCTTACGTAAAACTGGCATTGTTCTTGTGCCCAGTAAAGGTGAAAAATCTCTGGTGAGGGCTTTGTGTGCATTTTTCCAGGTTGATAAATAACAAGCATTAATTCGGACGTTGACACTATAATTGCATGCTTTCAAACATTGTGCCATCTTTGCATCCCATCCGTGTGTAGTTTACAGTGCAACATTTAAATCTAACCTTTCAAAAGCTTTTTTTTTTACTATTTTCTTATTTTTAATAAAACTGTAACTTACTCAGGAAATTGTGTGAGGTCTTCCCACTCTCTGAACATGTGAATATATATATGTGGGGAGGGGGGTAACTTAAAAATAATTTATGAAGCATGGAGTTAAAAATTCTGAGAGTCAGAAAGTGTCTTCCTGTATCTAGTCTTGCATTCTGTAGAAAATCTTTAGCTTTGACAATGATTGTGTGCACCCATCTTTGTAGCAGCTATGTTTTCCCCTTTATGTGCATGATCTGAGATTGGATGAATGTCTTTGCCATGAAGTGCAACAGGATGAAAGCTATCTTTTGTGGTGTCTCAGATGCCTTAAAAAAGTACTATTCTATTACCCCATACTTTTGGTCAGGAGAAAATCCCAGCTATCTTCATGGAACAGGTTGAATTAGTTGAGTTGTTAATATGTTTTATTATTTATTTATCTAAAACTTTTATATGCCATCCCCTCATGCCTCGGCATCATTTTATTTCTAGTTATCTTTTTCATTGCCTTTGATATGCTGGGGCGAAACTTTGCGTTTTCTGTATTCAGCTTGGAGGTGGGTTGCAAATTAGGAAAGTACACTAGAAACAGCGTTTTGTTTTTTCCCCCTTTAGGGAAGACCATAACTTGGGTACTATCATGTTTTATCAGGGCGTTGTTAAGAATTCAGTGTTGCCAGAATTCAGGTTCTTGGCTTAAGTGTAAGTTAAGTGTAACTTAAGCTGCATTAGCAAGTGCTGGATGTAGTATGTGATACCTAAGCAGGGAAACTGGAGGTGAATTACTGCTGTAGCTGTGTAAATTTTGAAATGATATATGTGGGAGTGAAATTCATGTAGCTTTGAAACTTGCTTAACAGCAAAGGAACAAGCTTTGTTGGATCTAAAGTTAAATCAAGTAAAATAATGATTGGTTCTTTTTAAAAAAACACATAAGGTGGCTTTATATTTGGGGCAATATAAAAAGAACGTATGGAGCAGTGTCAAGTCCCATTGTTTTTGTATCTAGATGTCCTGATGGACAAATCTATATTAGGCAAAGTAGCATAGCACCCTTTTATATGTGGGACTTCACAAAGACCACGAAGGAGAAAACAGGGTTGCTTGCCTGTAACTGCTGTTCTCCAAGTGTCCTCTGTGCAGTTGCACATCCTGCCCTAATACATAAATTTACTTTGTAAATTCTTTGGTTTGCCATCATTTGTGGCCAACTGAGCAGGAAGACACTAGTGTTAGTCCCATAGTTGATGCACACATCTTGGTGAGAAGAGCATAGGATACTCCATTCTGGTTGAGGTTCTGGAATTTCTTATATTGTGGCCTGTGCATGTGCATTCCTAAATAACTGCACAGAGGACACTTGGAGAACAAGACTTACAAAAAAGCAACCCTGTGTTTTACAGTTCCCAACTTCAACTAAGGTTTCTGCCAAAGAAGAAGAGAGAAAAGATGAGTCTCCTGCTTCTTGGAGATTAGGTCTTCGAAAGACTGGCAGTTATGGGGCACTGGCAGAGATTACAGCTAGCAAAGAAACTCAGAAAGAAAAGGATTCAACAGGAGTTATGCGTTCAGCTTCAAGCCCTAGATTGTCTTCTTCATTAGACAACAAAGACAAGGTAAACTTTTTTTTTCCCCGAAATGCGCAACATAATTAAACCATGGTTGGTGGTGGGTTCAGAACAGGACTTAGCGTGTTTGAAGAAAAAGAAAGTCTGAAGAAGCAGAGCTCCATAATAAATATTACTTGCACAGATCATGGAAAAAAATCTCTATACATGAAAGCTGTGAAAGCCTAATGCCTGGCAAAGTCTCAGAGGCCCAAGTGGTCAATAGAAAATGCACTGTAAGAGATTTGCAGAAGTCCAGACTTCAGTGCTCTGCGTGTGTGTGTGTGTGTGTGTGTGTGTGTGTTTCTTTCTGTGTTTATCTGGTGCCTTGAAGCAGTTTCCTGGGAAAATATGGTATTTTTATGAATGGTTGATAATTTTTCCAGCCTTCAAATAAAAGAATCTTGTTTGGCTGCAGCTTCTATATATGCAAAGGTTTTGCAGTTTACTTTACAGTCTGCGATGAGACGGGCACAACACATGTTTATTTACCTGACTTCTTGTGTCAGGTAAATCCTATCTGTACAGGATTTTCATTGGTCTCTGCAATTTAGTACAGTTTTGGTAACTAATTGTTTTCTCAAATGCCAGCGTTTTTATTTTGCTTTTCTTGACAGAGTATCTGCAGAAGATCAGTGAGAGACTTTAGAAGCTGTATACCTGGATGATACTATGTTAAAACATTAATCAGAAGTCTAAATACTGGGGTGCTCTCACATTAATATTCTGTTTGTGGACTTTCCAGATGGCCATTGTGGGAACAAAATGCCAGACTATGTCAGACTAGATGGGCATTTGATATGATGCAGCATAGCTCTCATCATATGTAGGCAGTCTTTGGCACTCGGGATCAATCTGATTTCTAGTAACCTTTGGCCTAATTTGAAAAATTCTGTGGAAACTTCCACTTTATAGCTTGGCAACAAAGATCTGACCCTTTCCTGATAGCCATGTTTGCAGAAGGAAAAGTAGGTGTCAAGGATAAAGGGTAGATGTGCCAACTTTTGACTCAGGCCCCATCTCCTGTGAGCATGAATCTCCTTACAGATTATCCCCAAGGGAACTTTGTTCTCAGTGAAAGAACAGCAAAAACACTGCCCACTCCTAGTTTTTTTAAAAGGCAAATAGGCCAAGAAACTTCCAAGTTGTATCATTGCAGCAGTATGTTTGTTGCAATACTATTCAGCACAAAATTGAAGCAAATTGTGATTTTCATCATAGAATATATATGGATTGGATTCAGAATCATTTATGGCATGTATTAGTTTTTTAATGTACTTTCACATTCATGGTGCTAAATGCAACCTGAAAAAAATGCGTTCTTTTGCAGGAGAAAGATACGAAAGCTACTAGACTTGCATATGTTGCACCTACAATACCAAGGCGGCTGGCCAGTACATCTGACATTGAAGAAAAAGAAAACAGGGATACATCTGCTAGTTTAATACGTGGAAGTGGTTCTTATACAAGAAGAAAATGGGAAGAAGATTCAAAGAAAAGTAGTATTTCAAATGAAGGATCTTCACAACTAAACACAAACTATCAACGAAGGTAAATAAATGAAACCATAATCTGAAAACAGTTTGTGTTAGAGGTCCCTAACTTTTTCAAGTAGTTGGGTACATTTGGAATTTTGAGAAAGGAACATGGATTCTTTCAGAGGCACACACAAATATCTAGTGCCTCACATATCATGCACACACACAAACTGGGCAAAATACAGATACCAAACATAAATCCAGGAAAAATACATATTAAACAAGTGACAAACCCAGGCAAATATGCACACTTACCAAAATAAGCTATTTCACCCATCTAAATGGCAAAACGCACATACAACACAGGCATCCTCATAAAACTCCCTACTACATGCATTATTCCCCCACATACTTACCACTTTCTTTTGTCTTTATAGTGGACAAACTTCAAAATGAAGCAGTGAACATGGTTATTTTCTAAACAGCCCCTGGAGTCCAGGCACATTCTTTGTTCTTGGAAATATATCGTTCTGGAGCCCGTCCTTCATTTTGCTGCATAAATTTTAAAATTACTGCTAAATCAGGAGGGGTCTGGAGCCTGGTATATAGCATGCAGACACATGTGTTGTCTGGTGAATGAGTTTCAAGTCTTTGAGTTCATTTTTGGAAAGGAGAAAGTAGGGATTCACTTGCTGTAATTATGCTGTTTTATCTATGAAGTGTTTCAAGTGAATAGAAATTGAAAAAAGGCTACCATTCCTTACCATTCATGTCACAAATCTGATCTTTTTTCTTGTAAATTGATGACTTTTCAGTGGTTCCTTTGGTAGAAGACAAGATGACTTGATTAGTTCTAGTGTTCCAAGTATTACATCAGTATCAACAGTTACCTCCCCAGCTGGTCTTCAAAAAAGCCTGCTTTCTAGCACAAGCGCTGCTACAAAGGTTACAACAGGTTCGGCAACAGCAGGCATTCAAAGCAGGTAAAAGCATTATTGTGCTTTGCATTAAGTCCATTGTTTGCTTTATGTATGTGCATGCATTTTTGTGTAGAAGTTCCTGGGCTCTGGATTTTTCCTATTACATCAATATGCAATTTGGCTAAAAATGAGAAATACTTGCATTATTAAGTAATAGCTCTGCATGGCAGTAAGATCAATAATTGGGAATGGATTAAAAATGTAACCTAAGCTTGATAAGCTTATGTCTTATAAAGCTCAGCTAGAGCCATTTAAATATCCTAAGGTCTTCTCAAATTTATGTATATTTTAAAAAATCCACCCATGCCTCTGAAGAAAAAATCCATGCCTTTGTATCACACTGTTTTAGTTAAGTGCTTTCATTGTTTAGCTGTTTCCTTTTCTCTTTTTGTGTTGCTGCTGTGATGCTATAGTACCTCAAATCGTTTATGGGCTGAGGATAGTACTGAGAGAGACAAAGACAATGTTCCTACAGCAGTGACCGTTCCTGTTGCACCATCAGTTGTAAATCCTGCAACTACTATCACAGCCTTGACTACAACTACTTCTGGCACTGTGTCCTCAACTTCAGAGGTCAGGGAGAGACGCAGGTGTGTAAACATTCTGGGAATAATACTTCTCTTATGCAGAGCAATCCATTAGTGTAAGGTGAACAAATGCCTACTCAATATGAATAGATAGAAATGTAAATACATTAATGCCTTTGTTCACATATATTTGATGGAAAACTGTTAGTCTCATGCTAAATGCCATCTTCCCATATTAGATGTTTTCTATTCAGTGGTCCCAATAATTGTTTTCCATTTTAAGATACAGGGTGCTTTACATATTTAGTATATCCAGACTTAACAGCCCTTCATTATCTGTCAATCACTGGGGACAGTTTTTCATTTTCATGGCTTGTGAGAAGAATCTATTCACTTCTTAGGGTAGAAGAATGTTCCAAATGGATAAATTTCTGATAGTCTTGAAAACATGCTCCATCTTTAAAATTAAAGGAACCCTAACAAAGCTAAAGGTGACAAATTATGGAGTGGCAAATTATTTGAGAGCACCTTTTCTCCTTCCATGCTATATGTGTTGTTTTTCTGTTGGATCTTGTTCTTTGGGCCACAATTCCTTTTGTCTTCTTTCTTTCCAAGTGACTTCATGTGTTAAGGAAATGCCATGGTTTGAACTTGCTGTGTCTCTCACCTCTCCATTAGAAATATGAGCATAATTGTTTTTACAGATTAAGATTGTGAAATAGCAACTATTGTTTGCATATCAAAATACATGGGTTTATTTATATAACTGTTGTTTCAAAGTGTGTACGTCATCTATAAAGCCATGAAAAGTAAATAAGCATCTTAAAGTTTAAAACAAAGACTGTAAAGCTAGGTTTAAAAATTAATAAAATCTCTGGTAGGTTGACAAGGTGGGAACTGAGCACATAATATCCCATTAGCAAATACACTTCAATACACACAGCAAAGAGTTTTCTTTAGGGAAATGATCACAACATCCCAGGATGCAACCATTTCTTAGGGAACATTTAATCTTACCAAAAGATAAATCCTTTCCTGCTTGCTTCACTGCCCAGAAGATATTAAGGAAAGAAGGGGATGTGTTGGCATTGATGTGAAAAAGATGAGAAGCAAGAGTTCTAAATGTTCACAGACTTCCAGTTAAGTGTTTTGTATGCACATAACAATTCTCTTCCTGGTTCATGCATCTGAAGATGTAGGTTGTTAACTGTAGTCTCGTGCCTCAAGTCTCTTTTTATGGTATAAAAAGTGTGTGAATAAGCTGAAATGGACTTGAAAGCTCTGAGACTAGATTCTTAATTCAATTTTAAAAATCAATTTATCATGGAACAGGCTATATATTCCACAATATAGATTGCATTTGGGATCAGGCACTAAAATATTGGAAGGCATTTAAAATTAAGTGTGGTAAGAAGCCTTCATGCTTAGAAAGAGATTTTCAGCTCACCACTGTGCAAGGTAATTCAGCAATAGTTTTCATTCAGGAAAAGGTAGTTGAAACTGAAGCGTTTTACAATATATTTAAGTGCACCAGACTTAATTTTTACTTTAAGCTTTTTATGCATTAAAAATGTATGGTTGATAAGCCTGATAAGAGCTGAAAAAGCAAGTTCAAAATTCAAGCATTCGGTTTGTTCACTCTCACCAGCTGTCAGGGTGTTGCATGTATGTTGCACAGGTTGAACTAGCATGTTTAGCTTTTATGCTCATGGTTTGAATTACCTTGACTCTTTAAATTGTGTTGTCCTAAGCTTTCTGACCTATACGACTGCATTATTGATAAAGCATAAATATAGAATGCCAAATTAGTGACCTGACGAATTTCAAAACACTAACATTTATGCTGCAGTGTTACTGAGCTATCATTCTGCATAATGCCAGGCTTCTGTCATTCTGCTGTTCTGCCTTACAAGAACATTCCTTACACCAGGTATTTCAGCCACAAAGCTCTCACACAGTGGTGATGCTTACGAGAGATGATCCACATTTGCTTGGTGTTGAAACACAAGTAGCTGTTGTTGTGCCTGTTCTTGAGCTGGAACTCATCTGCCCAGTGATATGAGCTGTTGTAAGCCACCCAAAAAGCCTATGGCTAATAGTATGTAAATCAAATAAATAAATGAGTGCTTGCATCAGCAAATGTCACTTAACCCTAAAGCATACCATGGATTATACAAGGGCTGTGTAACCCTTGCAGAACTGATGCTTGCTGGATTTGCACAACACAGCAGCCTCCAAGCAGGTGTTACATATTCAAGATGGCAGCTGCATGTGCCTCTACCTTTCCAATACTTTTCATTTTATTTATTTCTTAATCCTTGGTGAAGGGACACTATAGTAAACAACCATTTATACAATACATTAAGATAGCATAACATTTTGATACAAAATTTAAAACAGTATTTTAAAAATTTGAGCAAGTACTGCACATTCAGGAGTCTATTCTCCAAAGCATTGCCTCACAAACTGTACCTCTGGCCTTAATTTTAAAGTCTCTGGGAGTAGGGAGCAGGTGAAATGGCTCATCCCTTATGGAAGAGCCTTTCTCCCTTAAAGCAGTGCCTCAGAGTTCCAGGTCAGACCTTTTTTCTTCACTCACCTTTATAGCTAATTAATCCTAAAGTTATAGGGTTGTTATAAAATCCCGGAACACCTTCATGTTTCTGAGTTAGAAGCCCTGGTGAAACTCCAGAATGGGATGGATTTGATTCTGGAATTGTCAATTGCTGATCCCTAAGTTGAATGTTGAGTTATACTGTAAAAATAGGGTGAGTCTGTATATGCTCAGTACTGGTTTATAGCAAAATATACCAGCCTTATTGTCACACCATTGATGTAAAAAACAAAAACAAAACCTGTCATAAAACCTTTTACTGACATAAAATCTATGCTGAAGCGTTGGTCAACTGCTTCCTAATGTATTGGTGATTCGCTGCTTTTTCTGTTGCTATATTCTCCAAAAGTTCAATTAATTTGCAGTGATTACTAACTAGTCAATCTTTAACTCCAGGTCATACCTCACTCCAGTTCGGGATGAAGAGTCTGAATCCCAAAGAAAAGCTAGATCAAGGCAAGCAAGACAGTCTAGAAGATCTACACAGGTGCAGTCGTTTTATATGCTACATTTAGGGATTATATTTTAGTCCAATAATTGGTTTTGTAATAGTTATGAATTCACTAGTAATCATAGAGCAAAAGAGCAGCTTCATTTTTTGTTAATGCTATTGAAGTATGCAAGCATATATTTTGTATATACAGAAGTGGTGACAGGTCTTCTGCAGTGGTCTCCTGATGTGCTGTTAGCTTACTATTTTCACGTGCATTTTTTATCCTGCTGAGATTTCCCCACTCCTCTTTTGAGCCATGAATTTTAGTTTTATTGGCCGCTTCTGAACACCTTACTAAGCTATAGTTTAGCACAGAGAGGGGAACATTTTGAAGGGCATATTTCTCCCATTTCTGCTCCCTCCATTTCCCCACAAATTTCTTTCTCTGGACTTCCCCCATGCAATTAGGGTTTAACTAACAGCAATTAACTAAAGCTGAGAGCTTTTTAATTCTTTCTTTTGTGCTCAAATGTGCTGAAGATTTGTCAGTGCTCATTGGTTGTGCATGTCATGAAAAACTGATTTGGCATGAAGTGCACACAGTGTGTAAGATGTTTATAGCTTTGTTCTGGGGGAAGGTTGGATTTACCCTATGGACTCTTATGGCACCTAAAGTTTGGCACATTGATATATACTTCACCAGTGTTGTCATGGTTTAGTTTTCCAGAGAAAACTTCACCATAAGTCTAAACTTACAGTTATTCGGTAAATTGAAGAGCCAGTTATTCGAGAGACAGTGTGGTGTAGTGGTTAAGAGCATGGGGCTGGGACTCAGGCGATCCGGGTTCTTGTCCCCGCTCAGCCATGGAGCCAACTGGGTGACTTTGGGCCAGTCACAGACTCTCAGCCCAACCTACCTCACAGGGTGGTTGTTGTGGGGATAAGATGGAGGAGGAGCTGTAAGCCGCCTTGAGCCCTTTGTAGGAAAAAGGCAGAATATAAATCAAAAATTAAATTAATTAATTAATTAACTAACTAACTTTGTTGCTGCAAAGTTTTCATTATAATTTCTGCCCTTCAATCTTCATTCAGCTTTAATTTAAGACAGGGTATGTTTATAGATCTATAATTTGAAACATACCTACAGCCTTACCAGATCATTGCCTCAGGTAGGATTTTCCATACCAGACACATGGGACTCCTGGAGTTATGGGAACTATTTTTGAGGCCTGGCATAGGCAGCGGGGTGCTGAACCCATCCCTGGAAATGCCAGTTTGCTAACAACATTCAATGGCAAACTATTCAGTAGTTCACTACAGTGGTTATGAATAGCTTGTTTGAAAATTAAATTTTATCTTTTCGATATTCCATAGCACCTACAGAGCATCCAAGAACCCAAGTTGAGTTGGATGCTGTGGGTGCTATGCCCACCCCCAGGAGATTTTTAAAAACATTGTGTTGATACAAGGAGAACAGAGGCTGCATGCCCATCCCTGCTCTGTATTTAAGGATCCCTACTTTTTGGACAGCCTTTATCTTGAAACCTCTAACTTGTGTGACTTAAATCCATTGTGCCTTATTATGTTCTTGGTGGTCAAGATAAATACATTTTCTTGAGTGATCAGGTGGTCCATCTTCAGCTGAATGCAGTCATCAAGTCATGCTGAAACCAGTGCAATAAACATAAACAATGCAAGTCTTGTTGCTTTCTGTGACACCAGAACACAACTAGGTTTATCTGCATTTAAGTTTATTCATATTGTGTTCAAGTTTAAATACTCATGTGCTAATGGTGTCAATATTGTAAAACTGAGAAGGAAAGAAATAATTTGTAATAACTTTCTATCATGTTGAAATATGCAAATAAGGGTTAGGGCTAAGGTTTTATCCATTCCCAGTTGCCACAAACAAAACACAGATGATTACTACTTAAGCCTATCCTTAACTGGTGTACTACATAGATACTTTTCAACTCTGAACATCTGAGTGCTTCATAGAATGCTTTTAAGTATTACCTAAACTTATTTTAACTCTTTTAAAAGAGTGTTTAGTTTTAATGCTTATTGTATGAATAACAACAGATGTCAAATTAGATAATGGAGGTTATATGATTCATCTGCCTTTGTGGGTGGGTTTCTATTGCAGGGTGTTACACTGACGGATCTGCAAGAAGCTGAAAAAACTATTGGTAGAAGTCGTGCTACACGAACTCGAGAACAAGAGAATGAAGAAAAAGAAAAGGAAGAAAAAGAAAAACAAGACAAAGAAAAACAGGAGGAAAAGAAGGAATTTGAAACTAAAGACGATGATTATAGGCAAAGATATACACGAATAGAAGAGGTATTTTATGTTTTTGTTTTATGGTGTAGGAATGAATGTGTTGTAGTGCTTCTGAAATTGTAGGTGATAACTTACTTGAATAAAATGGTTGAATATGAATTTATGTGTTTCTAAATTTACGTGAATTTTCTGCATTTATCAGCCATATCATCGCTATAGACCTACATCTTCAACTACTTCATCAACTTCTTCAGTTGCCACGTCTACTAGTTCTTCAAGCCAATTAAATAGACCAAACAGCATTATAGGTATAACTTCTGCATATTCCAGAAGTGGAGCAAAGGAAAATGAGAGAGGTAAGCCTGCTCTGATTTTTTTCTCTTTCTTTGCTTTCATTTTCAGTGAAACCAGTGCCCCTTCAGGAAAAGCGATAATTTTTTATGAGTATTTCATAAATGCTTAGAAATCCTCTTTCAGTGTCTGCATCTAGTATTAATACTTCCTTATTAAGAATTGACTCTTCAGTTGCTCTCCACAGGACAGACATAACTTTTCATGGGTATACCATGATGCTCTTGCCCCAAATCTTACTTTTGAGTTGTGGCAGGAATTTTACCCAGTATGTTTTTAGAGTGTGACTGAGCACTGTCACCTTAATGTAGATTAATTTTTTCAGCCCTGAAGATTGCAGCAGTGAAATAAGCACATACCTGGATATTTGTGATTTATGATAATTCAAGGGTAAACTGCATGATAGCAAAGGAATGTTATGTGATTGTGCAGTCCTGCTTTATAATTTTTGTACAAGTTAAGAAAAGCATTTTGGAGCTGAAAAATCTAACTGAAAGTTAATATTTGATCTTACTGACATTTTACTATAAATGTAATTTTACAGAAAAGGATCCAGAAATGGTCTTAAACACTGTATTTAATCAAATATATTGCCATACAAAGAAAATAAATCTTAACTAATTTAAATACATATCTCTCTCCAGAAAGGTCTGTTGCACGTTGAATTCATTAAGCTCCTCACTAAACATATACTCATCTAAAATAAATGTGTTCTGTATGTTTTCATGAATTTGTTTGTAACTGTTTTAATGTGTACAGATGTGTTTGATTCCTAAAGCTAAAATCCATATAATAACTACACTGAAATATTCTAGTTCAGCTGATGTGCATCTAGAAATGATGCATAATAAGATGACACTTATTCTATGTTCTCAAAGTACTTTAGAATTCTCTTCCATAAAATTGGATGAGAAGAGTCTTGTGTTAGAAACAAATATAAAATGTTCTGTGATGCATATCAGAATGCTTTCTCAGCTTATCAAAACCTTGCTACTTAAATAGAAACAGGGAAGAAAGAAGAAGAAAAGGAAGAAGATAAGTCACAGACAAAATCAATAAGGGATAGACGACGGCCAAGAGAAAAACGAAGACTTACAGGAGTTTCTACTTGGACTCAAGATGTGAGTGAGAACTTGTTAAAAAGATCCACAGATCTGTATTTAGAAACGCTTTAGGTGCTGTTCAGTCAACGAGTCTATTCTAATGCGTCATGAACTTAAGCAATACCATAAATTGGACAACCTATGAATCTGCTTCTAGTTTTCATTTTGCAGCATATAAATACAAACTTATTTTCAATGACTTTTCCCTCAGGGTGATGAAAATGAGCAGGAACACCTGTCTGATTCAGAAGAAGGCACAAATAAAAAGGAAGCGCAGGTGATTGTTTAGTTCGTTTTTATTGCATGAAATGTATTATGCTGTGCATTTATTCAAGCCTCTGTGAAGGAAACTTGTGTCCTCTAGTGTACAGACTTAGGCAAAAACATGCTTATGAACCGCAAATGCATTAGAATTTTATTTGAACATGCAGTAATTATATCTCATTGCATTAATTTGTTCCATTTGATACTATTTTGTTGAACTGACTGGGAAACTTTGCATGACAATGCAACCCACCCTATGAATAATAGAGTGGGTTGTGCATGGAACAGATGAACAGCCTGACAGATGATCAAACTCACTGTGGATTGTTGTTCCTATCACTTCCTTCTGTCCCCTCGCCCAACTCTTCCAGCTGGTACCCCAGCACCCTGCATGACAAAATATTTGTCTTCCCTTCCCTGTTTTCACTGCAAGCCTGTTTTTGGTTTTGTTTGTGGTTCAGTTTTGTTTATTTTCAGAGCCCTGTGCCACTGTCAGTGACAGCTGCACCCATTTCACCCAGGCAGGACTATGGACAGACCAGACACTGGGGGTTTTTTATGAGGTGGTTGTGACAGAATTGTGCACAATTAACAACACACGCACGCACACTTCATTACTTTCATATTTCTTATAGAATTACATTTCAGTTTCAAAAGAATACTCAAATGTGCTAGATAGGTTTTAAGAGGTTTTGTCATTTTACAGTTGACAAAAATGCTCATAAAAAGGATGTGGGATGTAGTTCCCTCTTTCCTTGGGTGCCTGAAAGCTTGGGGAAGTGTGAAGAATTTGTTGAGCACTGAGAACTGTCACTAAAGATTCTCTCTCTCTAGCCCCTCTCATATTATGTGACAAAACCTCCTTCAACTCTTTGCTTTGCACTTGACGGTTCACTAGTTGACAGCTGTCAGGTTTGTGCATAACCACCTATACTCAACTTTGCTTTGTCATTTTCCATGAACATTACTTAGTGTATTTACGTACTTATCAAGGTAATGGCCGAATGACACCACATCTTGGAAGGCATAAATGCACAAAGCACAAGAACAGTAACTGAAAAAGCACTAAAAAAGAAAAGTCAGTTGTGTAGACGACTACTACCGCAAAACTTTTTGAAATGAGAAACCAGTCAGTGATGGTTACTTTGAAGTGCTGCTTGGGTATTAATAGAGCAACTGTCACTGGTTGTGGCTCAGGGAAAAATTAGGAAGAGTAACAAGTGGATTTTATTGCTTTTGCTGAGCATGCCACACACCATGATGGGATTGGTCTCCTGGGTTTGAATAATATAATAGTCCATCATGGATGCAGCAGTCACTGGATCAAGCAGTGGGTTGTCATGCTGGCTTGTTGCCTGAAAACAAACCATTGTAAAGGAAACATGCAGTTTGTACAACCTGACAATCCACCATGACTAATTAGCAATCAAGTTTGGCAGGTTATCCCACGTTTTTTTCTTTGTTTTCTTAGAAAATTCGCACTTTGTTTCTTGCTTGTTGAATATGAAGAAAGCTTTTATTGCATATAGAACAATTAGTATCTCTTCAGTAAAATCATAACTTTATTATGCATATTTTACAAAAGGCAAACTTCCTCTGATCCATATTGCAAGAGTTACATTCTGTTTATTTTTTATCATTCTCTTCTGTCCTCACTGGAGCCAATTTTGGTTTGTTGTGATAACAACACCAAATATATTTGATGACAATACCAGTTAATAGTTCATTGTGCTATTTGTACCTGTCTTCTTTACTTGGATCTTCTAAAAATGTTTTTTTTAATCTTTCAGAGTGATAGTCTTTCAAGGTATGTGCACTCCTTATGTTTGGATCGCATGATGTGCAGTATTAGATCATTAGTTTTGTGATATAGCTAATGCTGTGAAAGATTAGGCATACATTTGAGGGAGTAATACATTCTGCAAATGATGCTGAAGGGCAGAAACAGGTCAGTTTTCCAAAAGTGTTGATACTGTAGAAGATAGCATCTAATTTAAACAAGAGAGTGGTTAATGCTATTATGCTATCATATAAGCCATCTTCATTTCAGTATTACAGTCTCCTGTGGATTAGGAAATAAATGCCCATATGCCAAACTATATTATTTACTGTTTACAGATGTGATGACAGTTGTGTGGGTCATTCCCAACCAAGCCAAGGAGAATTTTAACCAATGTTTTGGAGTTTCCTAAAGGGAAGGGAATTCTCTAGTTGCATAATACTGGAAGTAGTTGCTCTGAGGCTATAGCCTTAATTTGATTGTGCATATTGAGGACACATGGAAGAGTATGTAAAAATAAAGTTTTATTTGCTCTGTGTCAAAATAGCTTAAAATGTTAAGATAGAGAGTGACATTATTGTTATTAGTATTACACTGAATTTATATCCAGCCTTTTTCTATTGTGAAGAACTCAAGGTGGCTTACATAGCCCTCCTCTAATTCATTTTGACCTCACAACAACTGAGGTGGATTAGACTAAGAGTGAGTTACTGCTCAAAATCACCCAGTGAGGTTCATGATCAAGTGGGAACTAGAAAGTAGATCTCCCAGGTTCCCAGTTAATCACTACACCCATTCTTTAAATGTGTTGCTAAACCATGTTTCTTTAGAACTTAACTTTAGTTCATCACAATGCCTGAATTTAGAAAATGTGGTTTGGTGAAATCAAGTATCCGCAACCACAGATTTGAAGTGGCATTAACAATCAGTAGATTAACGTTCAACTGATAGTAAGATTAGTGAGGCATTTGGATTGCATTATTTTATTACTGAATAAACTTTACAAAGCAACTTGAAGTAAAAGAATAACTTTCTCATTTTTTAGTCTCGAACCATAGACTCCCAATTACCTCCAAATAGTAACATCTTTTGCTTAAATCTGTTGGCCATTCTGAACTTATTTTATAAAAAATATTTGAGTTCATTTGTTCATAGTACTTACAAACCACTGACATGTGAAATAACATCTGAGTGATTCATATACATTTCCTCTCCCTCTTCTGTGCCCCCCCCCACACACAAACACACATATGTAAATGGTAGTTTCAACAGCCATGGAAATGAACAGCATGTTGTGGGGAAATGGTAATGAAACAGGTGCTGGTAATGACATCAGGTTTCATGTACATTTTCAAGATAGGAAAGAAAATAGGCTGCCTTTTTTAAAGGAAAGTGCCTGCAACTCCCTTCACAGGGAAGGAATGAAGGCAGCAATATTTAATGCTTTCCCTCTTGGCTGTTCACTGGTCAAAATACCCCCCATGCTCTTTTTTTTGGTGGGGGGAGATACTTTGCTCACTGGTTAGATCAGTGCATTGGGGTATGAGTGGTGAACGGTACGGTTCCACTAGCATCCTCTGCTGGTGTGACTTCCCAGAACAGCATATATTTGCATTTGTCTTTCCACCTTCTTTTATCCCTTCCTTTGAGAGGAGAAATAGTTGGGGAATAAAATAATATCCTCTCTCCCCATCTAAGAATTGTATAACTGCAAGTTCTTCTGCTATTTTGTCTGAAAAAGCATTCCTGAATACAGTGAGGTGAAAGGTGGGTGAAAAAGATGAACATTCCCTTTATGTTCCTCTGGCTGATGAAGGCATTGCTGCATGATCAAGAACAAGATAAAGTGAGAGCATCTTAAGCTGCACTGCCTTCTTAGGACTGTCATTTGATGGCAACAAGCAGAGACACCTCGATTTGCTTGCAGTAGAGCAAAGAAAAATAGTTCAGGATAGCATCTCAGTATGTTTGTAGGAAAGAATCAAGTGAAAAAAATGTATAAGGGATAATGTACATGTTTGTTTGGAAAAGAGGTATTTTACTTTCTGAATTAGTTTCCTCAAATCATGGTTTCATTTTATATCCAAATTGTGCTGAGAAAAATTCCCTTCTGTGTTAAAGATATGATACAGGATCATCAGGAGATCGTTACGATTCATTACTAGGACGGACTGGATACAGTTACTTGGAAGACCGCAAATCATATTCCAGCAAGCTAGAAAAAGAAGATACAACAGATTTTAAAAAGGTATCTGACTTTAGCAGCGTTTTAATGAGATAGCTTGATATATATATCAAATAATTCTGTTTGGCTGATATAATTCAGTTTAACTTGGCACACATATGTATTCTCCTAAGGCTTTAAAGTAATTTGTACAGCATAATATGGGAAGTTTGGAAGAAGCTTTCTGCTTTTGTCATGGGCCCCCTGCACAGGTATATTCTCTAGATCCAGTTCAAATACTTTCTGTAATTGTTTATTCTAGTTCCTTCATGGATCTTACAGGGTTAGGCCAAAGCTTCTCTTGTCACTTTCTTCCATGAGCCAAGTGCATTTTTGCTCTTGGTATCTCAATCCTTTAGCATTCTGTCACCCAAGCTCCAGTTTTCTCAGTGTTTCTAGCTGCACTTTCATACCTGCATGTGGTTTTGTCTTGTCATGTGCTATTTTCATATATTGAATATAAAATGTAAGTACTGTCCCTTTCTTTCACTAGCATCTCCTGTTGGTATGTTCTCCCACAATTGCATATATTTACATTTGCCTTAGGCCTCTTTTATCCCTTATTTTCCTTAAATTTATTTATTTATTTATTAAAACATTTTTATGCCGCCCCATTCTCACTGTAAATATACAGTGACACAATTTTCATATCACAGCAGTGATTCCTGGATTGTTTACCCACAAACTGAGGGGATGAGCAGATCATGCAAGCTATCTCCACCTTTAATTAACAGTGGAGAAACAAACCATGGACAATTATTGGGCTAACTCTGGGTTCCCATAGGCAACCCAGAATTTCTAGATTGACATGTCAGGAAAGAACCAAAAAACAGGGTGTTGTTGGATTCTTAGTTGGAAACAGAAACAGTGCGAATGTTACTTGCAAGGTCATCTTCACAATTCCTGGATAAAACATCCCAGATACTGACATGGTGACATAGGAACTAGGTAATTCTCTCTATCCTGGCTTTTCTGTTACTACCTTCATGGCCCATCTCTACTTCCTTTACACAAATGAGAATGCCACATTGTAGAAAAGGTCAGTGGACTTTGGCCTTTGTGGTAACTTATCATATATTGATGTGGTTAATTGATATATAATCCTCTGTAACAAATAGGCTTTTGTTTCTGCATTGATCCCTTTCAAGCCAGTGCCCTTCAGCTCATCATTGCTCTGAATTCCTTTGGTTATACCACCCTGTGCCACAGGCCTAGGTGAATTTGAAAGTGAAGGTAGGTCAGACAGTATGCTACTAAAGCAAGTAGCTGAGGAGCAAAAGTAGGACATGGTTATTGCCATCATACCCTGCTATTGAAAGAATCTTGATGGCTATTTTGGAAGGCATCTGACTTGACTAAATGGCTCTTTAGTTTAGAGGCCTGCCTACATATTTTCCAATAGCAATTATAATCTTTGATTTAATATAGCTATAGCACAAGTTTGAAGAGATGTATGATCATAAGAACATGCATTTTTTAGCTTTATGAACAGATTGTAGCTGAAAATGAAAAACTGAAAGCACAGTTACATGATACCAACATGGAGCTGACAGATCTTAAGCTACAGCTGGAAAAGGCAACTCAGGTTTGTATTTCTAAACTGTTACTAAAATAGATATCACTAAGTATCCAAGGATTCATTTGGCATTTTGTTGATGTGGCAATATGGCACCTTTTAATTGAATTGATCAATTGGTAAATGCTCAAAGTGGGTGTTCCGCTGCTTCTGACTTTTTTAGCAACTAATGCAGGTGGATAGGGACTTGAATGTGCATATTCCTTGTTAAGCCATTAAGATTTTAATGTATACTCTTGACATTCCAGGTACCAGATTGTTGATCTGATTGACTAGATGAACCCCAAGCTATGCTGTATTCTTTTAAATGAATGACAGTAATGGAATCTAGTTAGGGAAGGAGACAATAAATCTTCCCAGTACCTAAAAAGGTTGCCCTGCATTACCGTGGGTACTGCAGATTTTTTTTTTCTTGCATTTTTAGACTTGCAGTTTGTATGTTGACCTTGTAGCTGTTCTCTATTATAAGAAATCTGTATTAAGTCTGATTAAAGGTAAGCAGCAGTCACGTATGAAATCGTTAATCATTATGAACTGCAGCACTGATTTTAAGTTTCTGGTATCTACTACTTAAGGGTCATTTTAATATTTTTTTACTGTTTTTGAACTAATGCCTATAGAAAGAATGTTGGTCCCACTTAGAGGTAGACACAGTGAAATGGGATTTACATTAGATTAACATTGGATCCAATCCATTATTTGTAAAAGAAATGTGGTAGTACAGCAAAGCTTTTTGTATCCACTACACATCTTCCCTTCTTCTGTTTTTGTTGTGCATGACACTTGCATGTTACACTTTTCTGTTTCAGAGGCAGGAAAGATTTGCTGACAGGTCTCTGCTAGAAATGGAAAAAAGGGTGAGTTTTTCCCTGTGGTTTTCATTGTCTGATGCAGATATAATTTAGAATCTTGTAAAATAATAATTTGAACCAGGAAATAATATGTAAATAAGAATATTGAACAACCAGATGTTTGAATGTCCTTGTGGTTTGTGTTTAGTAAGATTTATTCATTATTAACTAGGTCTAATGCTTTTCTCATATTTCAGATTTACCAATAAACTTTGTCTAAAATTTTAATGTTTTGTGGATTAATTAATGAAAATGTCCCAATGAAATATCTCCTTATATTGCTATAGATTCATAAAGACCTTGACTGTATCTTGGTTCAGGAGCTGAAGTTGGAAGGAATCATAAAGTCTGTTTATAATGTACAAGTTGTGCAGCCAGATTCTTGTATTAGACAGAACTCAGTAGCAGCGTAGACAACAGTGAACTAAGGTCCAGTTCTCACACTTCGTAGGCCCCATATAATCATTTCCAGAGCTATACAGAAGTGCTGCCAACCACTCATGTGATATTTCATATTATCTCACAATCATGCATCACATTTGCTTGAATAAGAACAATACAGTTTGTGCAAGTTACCTTTTGAACATTTCAAACACCTATACCAGCCAAATATGCAAGTGATGATACATATCTCTCTGCAAATTGCTTTTTAGAGTTTAGAGACTTCTTTTATACTTTTATACTGTGGTTTTGTGACATATCCAGCATAAGGGATACAATGTGTAGGTATCTATATATTAGTAACAGTAATAAGCCTTGCTTCCAAAAATTACCATTTTAAATTTGGGCTTGCAGCTTCTTTTGAGGGCTTATATCAGTTAACTCACTGTTGCTTAATGGAGCACTGCTATATGTCAATGTATTTTTTAAAGAAACCCAGTTCTTAAATAGAAGCTGACATGAGCAAATAGTTACTATACTAAATTATTGAACTGAATTTCTAAAAATGGAGGAAATATGCCTTGAAATTCACTTAACTATGATTAAACTAAATTCAAATGGTTTGTATCTGAAAGGTGACCGACAAGAGTCAGTATCTACGGGGCGGTATGATCTAACCAGAGTTTTACACACCTCAGCTGATGCTGCTTGTTTGCATAACACTATTGAATGCAGATGTTAAATGTACACCTTTAAGTAATCTGCTTTTGTCTTTCACACGGAAAGTATTTGAATGTCAAATGCTGGTTGTAGCAGCTGCTTTTTCATGAAGCTCACTGCATTGTCTTAACATGAGGCAAGACTCAAGCTGTAAAGCCTTGTATGATTATAGATTATGCAATAGGATACATGTGCAATACTAGTACATCTTGGGTGCAGTATAGAGTGCAAACTAATATTTGCCTGTCCTATGATAGTTCATGCTTTGTGCTTCCTTTCTCTTAAGGCAATCTGTATCTTACCTGCATCGTGTGTATGTTTTGTTAAACTGCCACAAAGGAGAAAGAACCAGCTTATGTTACAAAGCTATTGCCTGTTCAGCTTCATATAAAAATAGATTGAATTGGTAGAATTGACCAAAATTTACTTCTCTGGTCTTGGTGTTTAAATGCAAAGTTCTTTTTTTACACATCACTGCAAGTCTTTTGTTTTCACTGGTTGTTTTAATCTTGAAAGTCTGAGATTGCACTACATTCACTACATTTAAAAGTTATACCCAGGTTGTAATGGTACTTGTCATTAATGCAAATGCTTTTCTGTAGGAAAGAAGAGCTCTAGAAAGGCGAATATCTGAAATGGAAGAGGAACTCAAAGTAAGTGGGCATCAGCTGTTCTAAATGTAGAATAGTAATGTTGTTTATGGATTACAGTGTGAAAATTTCATTTATTTATTATATTCCACCTTTTTCTTTTCAAGCTACTCCAGATGACTTTCATAATTCTCTTATAAAACAACATTGTGTGTAAGGTTGGGCTGAGTGTCTGTGACTGGCCCAAAGTCACCCAGTTGGGTCCATAGCTGAGTGGGGACTAAAACACAGATCTCATGAGTCCCAGTCCCACATTTTTAACCACTACACCACAGTGAGTCTTTAACTATTGATTAGAAGTTCATTTGATTATTAATTAAGCCCTTCTGATGTTTGGTGGTCTTTTTTTACTTGGGCATGCATTTAGTCACAATGCCAATGTAGTCCCAAGGATTGTTGCTTTCATAAAGGACAGTAACATATTGTACCACACAGTCAATTATAGTAGTGTGATCTGATGCACATTAATTCTTGCTCTAGAGCAGGGCTAGACAGACCTTGGGTTTATGTAATCCACTTTTTTAGAACTCTTACTGAATGTTAAGAGTCTGTCTGTCCTTAATGTCTGTTAATGGTGGAGGACACAGTGGAATCAGTTACTTGCTATAGTCCCATTCAAGTAGCCTCATCTGAATTTGTGTAGATGAGGGATTTTTTCCCTTAATTCTCTTCCAGGATTAGTGGCAAGTAGAGGTGCACAAAGGCCTACCCAAAGGCAACCAAATAAATGTTAGTATTTTATAGGTAAGAAATTTTATAGGTAAGAATTGGAAATGATTGCTAATCTGCTGTAAACCACCCAGATTTACCTGTAGATCCAGATTTGTTTTGTGCCTTCTCATAATGCAAGGCACTGATTTCTTTCAGATGCTCTTAAGCCATATGGTTATATCAGGGGAAAAAAAGTTCAATGTAACTAGATCACTTTATCAAAATAGCAATCTTTTCTAAATTATAGAATATTCTTGTACTTTAATAACAAACAAGTGATTGCATATAATGTAAAAATATAGAGTGTCTTCTAGAGAAAGGAAGTGATCATATTCAGGATAACATTAACTTTAGAGTCAGGATGAAATTGCTTGGATACCAAGGGGTAGGACTACCCAGCTTCCCACACCAGCCTTGGGCTGGCCAGCAGAAAACTCATTGTATTGAAGCTCATAGTCAGTATCACCATTTTTTAAAAAATATAGTTATCTATTTGTATTCACTTGCCTGTTTCTTAGTCACAAGAGGCCTGCAAGAGAAAAAAGCAGTTGAATACCCTATATGTCATTACAGTGGTACCTTGGCTCACGAACGCCTTGGGTCATGGACGCCTTGGGTCACGAACAAAAATTTCATGAAAATTTTGACTTGGGTCGTGAACTCCACTTTGGGTGCGACCAAGATCGCAACAATCTCCCCACCCCCCCGAGTGGGGAGATCGCTACGATCGCAGTCGTGTTCTTGCAGGGAATACATGCGTGATCATGGCTGTTCTGTGCTGCGCCCGTCTTTCCTGCAGGAGCACACCCATGATCACGCACGTCTTCCCTGCATGAACACAACTGCGATACTGGCCATCTCCCCACTCGGGGGGGGGCGGGGGGAGATGGCTGAGATTCCACCTGTCTTTCCTGCAGGAACACGCCCATGCCAGGGTTTCTTTGAGAAGCACCACCCCAACATAAATGTAACGAACAGAGTGTTGAATCTGATGAACAATAACATGGTCTCTCATTTCCGGAGGGTTATGCAGCGCAGGAAAAAACAAGTGACTATAGGCAGATTTTTCACCAAAATTGACACTGCAGCTAAGAGACAAAGAGAGGAAACCCCTGAAAGCGATCTCCCCAGTGTCCTTATGGAGGGGAACTCTCCCTCAAAACAATAATCTCCCCTTCACCTAGGTCAGTGTTCTCCACTGTACTGTACAGTACTTTGTTACTTTGTTGTTCTTTGACACTTTGTTTCAAAATTTCTCATTAAAAAAAAAATAGTTACAGAATGGATTAACCTTATTTACATTGAACCTTATGGGGAAATTTGAGTTGGGTCACAACCAATTTGGGTCACAACCATAGTCGTGGAATGGATTAAGTTCAAGAGCCAAGGTACCACTGTATTGCTCTACCTCCTTCCTTGGTAGGGAAAAAGCTAGTCACTTTTATTCCCACCTATATCTCAGCCTGACAGGCCAAGATGTGTTCCTGAGGTACAAGCTGTCTGTCTTCTACATACATAGGCCTACATATACACATGTGTGTCCGTGCATGTGAGAGAGAACAAGCTAATCTTGGTCCTTGGCAGGAGAGGAGAAGGCCAACATGGCCGCTAGTTGTTCTTTGTTGTCTCTGTGTATCACACATATGGGCTTTGTGCCTGGGCACAGCCTATTTCAGGAAGCTTCTATAGCTAAAAGTTACTGTGGGTGGGAGCCCCTCCCCTTTTTTTTCAGGAAGCATGGGGAGAGGCTCCCGTTCATTCCCTCAATTCATTTTCAGCCATCATTGCACCTACACTGGGAATCATTTTTCTCTCTTCTACCTAGGTACTTAGCTTCCTTTTGTGTGTGTGTTTTTTTTCTCTCCTTCACCTACAACAAACCTTTCTCCATTCCTCTCTTCGACAACCTCATTTTTCCTCTTTACTAGAAAAAAATTACTGAAGAAAGCTTTCTTACCAACTTTCAATCCACCACTCCTTCCCCATATTGCCAGTGCTACCCTTTTTTCTCCATCCTTTTTGCTGCCTTTTCCCCATCTTCCACAAGGGCATCTTTTAGCAGCTTTTTGGAGATGTGCTGGCTGCAAAAGCAAGCCACCTCCATCCAACAGTCAGTTCCTCTGCCTCTTGTGCTTGAGTGAGGGACATGTCATGGAGGCTTGTGCCCACTGCCAGGCTTTCACAAAGCATGCCTGGAAAGCACCAAGCAAATCAGGTCAAGGCCAAACTGCAAGAAAGCCCTCCAAATGGCCAAATCTTCCAAGAAAGGGACTATTCTTCCAGCTCCATAGTGGTAGATCCCCCAAGCATACTGTGGCAGCCATGGCAAGGCCATTTGCTGGGCAACTGCATGGCCAGGAAGGCTGCAGAATGTTCAAAGAAAATGGCCACGGTTGCACTGAAGCAAAAGAGGAAATGCTGTACATGCCCCAGTTGACCTGCCACCCTGACCACTGGGTCCCCACCAACAGCCCAGTCCTGGTTCCAGGAGCCAAAGAAGGTCCCCATTGCCATGCCGGAAGGAACACAGGCCCGATCTGCTGCTTCGCTGAAGCACTGTTTGCCCTGCTCTACTGCATCCACACACTCGCTCTCTCAGAAGTTGACCTGAATGCTGCCCAACTTGCCTTTGCGATGCTCACCAGAGCACCCCACCACACCTGGCTTGCCGCCATGCTCGCAGGCCAGGAGACAGCAGGAATGATCCGGCTGTCACCATATTGACTGGGACTGGGTCCCTGACTGGTCCAAAGCTGCCTCGTCCATCAGAAAACTGTCAGACTACTCTTCCAACACCAGTTGCAATCTTTGGTACCATGTTGGTCCTGAGTCTCAGTGCTGAGGCATCTGCTCTGAATATTGCAGCCACTGAGACCACATGAGCCTACATCAAGTGTGACATGAGAACACCCCATTCACCAGCTGCTGCTCCTCAAACTGTCAGTCAACGTCATGTTCTAGTGCTGAGCTGCTGCCAGGCCCTGTCTGCCGGTTGATACCAGCCCTCAGAACCAGAGAAGCTTCCAAACTGGGGAGGAGATATTCTTATTCTCAGTCCTTCCATTCAGCCTCTCAGCTGCACCCAGACTCTTGACAAAATGCATGGTGGTAGTATGTGTACCTCCAGCTCCAAGGAATACAGGTCTTCCCATACCTCAATCCTGGGAGCCCAATCTGACTGACTTTAAGACTGATTTAAAGCACCACCTGCTCTTCGTACCACCAGCTCTGTACTGCAAATTCTGGGGTGCTGTTTGCTCTCGGCGAAAACTCTCCTCCCAGAACTCAGCAGCAGTGCTATGCAACTGGGCAACTGACTTCAGTACATGAGAATCTGTTACAGTTCATGGGATACAGACATTCCTGGGCCTCATGGCAGCCACAGTGATGGTGGCCCTCTTCCCCAGACTTTGGATGAGACCCCTGCAGCTGTGGTTTGTACACACCCATCACTCAGAGGATGACTCTACACCACCATTCTCAACATCCTACCCTCTGTAGGTGGTTTACGATCCCATACAACCTTGCAGCAGGGATCAGCTTTATCCCGGCAGAGCCAACGATCACTGTCACCACCAAGAAAGGCTAGGGAGCTGCAGTGACCTGCAAACCAAGGGATCTTGGGACCACAGAGTAGCCAGCCATCTCATAAAATTCATGGAGGTGCTGGCTGTCCACAAGGTGCTAATCTCATTTGACACCTCCCTTTATAGCCAACACATGCGAATTGCCACAGGCAACTGTAATGATTTATCTGAACAAGGAGGGAGGCACATGTTCTATCCCAGTCACCAGACTAGCTGTGATACATCACCAGGGATGTTACAATCATGGCAACCATGGTGGGAAAAAGCAGCCTCTTAGCAGACATCTTCAGCTGCACAACACTTGATTCTCACAAGTGGCAGCTGAGCAAGATGGTCCTCCATGATCTCCACAACAGATGGGGATGCCATCAGTGGATTTCTTCACCATAGCACACAACATAATGAGCCCACAGTTCTGTTCCTAGGTGAAACAGGGAACCAAATCCCTGGGAGATTCCCCTCTCCCCAAATGGAGTGGGATTCTGTTTCACAGCTCCATTTCCCCTAATCATCACAATCAGGAGGGACAAAAGGGACTGTGTCCTCATCACCCCATGATGGCTGAGGCAGCTGTGTATCCCCTGGCTCCTCCAGCGCTCCTAAGGGCGCTTCACTCATCTCCCACACCACCAGGATCTCCTCTCACAAGGCTGGGACCAAGTTCTTCACCTGGACATTGGGACCCTGTGCCTCATGGCCTGCAGCAACACCCACTAGAGGTGTCAGCTGTACTGGACACAACCCTGAAGCTATCCACAAGAAAGGCCTTTTCAGCAAAGTGGAATGCCTTTGGAGGCCGGGGGTGGGGGGTTCCTGGATATCCTGGAAGTGACCTTTCCAGTAGCCATCATGTCAGCCCAGCAGGTCAGCAAATGCTGTGCCCTCCAAGTGGACCCACCCTACTTGACTTTCTATTGGGACAAAGCCATCCTCCATCCAGATTCAGCCTTCCTTCCCAAAAGCATCTTGCCGTTTCACCTCATTCATCCCTGCCACCTTCATGGCTACATCTACTGCAGTACAATCTATCCTACACCTCATCAGGACGGCACTCATCTTCAGAACTGAGTTATTCCACCGTTTGTCTGGGTATTTGTCTGCTACAGTGACCAGAAAAAAGGATACCTTCTCTCTCTGCAGAGACTATCCAATTGTGTTTCTAGTGCCAACTACCTTGCTATGAGATGGGAGGCCTTCACCTCACCATGTGCCCAAAAGCCAACTCATGTGAACACTGGCCACATCCCCTTGCCAGAATTCCCCTGCAGGGCATCTGCAAAGCTGCCACATAGTCTACACCTTCAACATTTGTTTGACACTACCAACTAGATCCCTGCGCAAGGGCAGACCGCTGCTCCAGGAGGGCAGTCCTCTCCTCTGTCCTCCAGTGATGACAGCACCCCTGTCCTTCACATGGTAAGTTAGCTGATCATTCATATGTGTGATGCACAGAGACAGAGAAAGGCGGATAACCCTGTAACTGTCGTCATTCAACAAGTGGTCATCTCTTCATTCACACAACCCACCCTCCAGCCCTGCTTGCTGTCATCCCTCCCAGGTGTTTCCTTTGTACTCTCCGTGGACACTTGAGGCCAGGCCAGAGCCTTTTCTCTTCCCCTTGGTCCAGAGATCTATGGCAGTCTCCATAGGGGATGTGCAGGAGCCTGTACTTCTTGAGAACAGGAAGAGGAGTGGTCACTCCCACACAAATGATTAGCTATAGAAGTTTCCTGACAACAGGTTCTGCACAGGCACCAAGTGCATATGTGTGAATGCACAGAGACCACTTGAAGAACAACAGTTACAGGTAAGCAGTCTGCCCTTTCTGCATCAGCTCAGCAACTGTGAAATGATAATTTAGCAGCAATTTAAACAATGGATGTTCAGATAGCAGTGAAGGAGTAATTCCTAAAGGTTCTGTGTGGTCTATTTTCTTCCTTTTTTAACCTTAGCATAGTCACCATCAGTGTGGCTGTTCCTGCTTGCTTTTTGTTCTGTCCTTTACAGAGGCAGATATGCTCTTTGTAAAAGGATGGCAATTTTTTTTTATCCGAGAGCAAATTCTTCATCTCCATATGAGGTGCATGGTTTGAGTGTAGCACAAAATAAATGGTAGCACTGAGGTCAAGCAGTTAAGGTATGGACTGCTTCCTTCTCTCCTGAGCAAACTACCCTATTCTCCATCATAAAAGTAGTAGCCATGCTGCCCAAGGGATAAGGTGCACATTGAAAACAACCCTAATGGTTTCAGAAACATAACTTCAGTCATTCATGTGCAAGCTCAAGAGCTGTTCTATCCCATGTCACTCCTTCACTAACATCCTTAATCCTTCCAATACATTATTGTGGGGATAGGAATTCCCAGTGGGAGAATATGCAGATGGAACTGTCCCTGACCAAGGCTTTGCAGAGGGACATCCCACTGGTGTTTTAGCCAGGAACCGGATACTATTGAAGGACATGGTCTGGCCCCTTGACCTAATGCTAGTTCCCTTGCATTATTGAAACACAGTAAAAAACCCTTGTTGAATTTACTCTAATGAATTCTACCTCCAGGACAGTAAACAGCGTTTTTACCATTCTGAATTTGCCAGTTTACCAGTATTGAATTCCAGCAGTAGGTGAAAAAATTTTTGAAGAAGATTGTTGCCTTCATAACCTGCTGCAGGACTTCCCATAGTGATCAGTCACTATCAGAGACAGAATTTTGTAGAATTACTTCTGTCTACTCCTGTTCACTTTTTCTAGGAATGTTAGTCTCAACTCACTAAGAAGCTGTTGATACTCAAATTTAGATGCCATCTTATTTCTACTACTGATTAAATTCCTGCAAACTGAACATCCTTATTCCTGTGGTAATGTCGGCACTTGAAGTAATGTCCTCAGAGCTCTTAGCATGTAGAAAGGTTCATCCCTAAGCAGGCAGTTGGACCAATATTATGTACAGTATTGTCAAAGGCAATGACAGCATTTTGAATTGTATATGAAAACTAACTGGAGAACAAAATAGCTCTCACATAATGAGTATAAAATATATTGGAATTTGTACCTGTTAATGATGAAGCTTCTATCTTCTGAATCAAGTTTTGACATGATTTTCCAAAACTGCTTCACATTAAGTACAAGCTCTTTCAGGGCACACTTTACCATTGCCAGGCCCTTCATCAAGAGGCCAAGCCTTGGTGCATTTCTCATAATGTATGCTTCATAAGCATTGAGGAGAACCCTGGCTTTGCAAATCTGATATTTTTGTTGTGGGAAGGGGGGTGTGAATCTGCTTCCAAAGTAATTTTGAGAATATTTCCTCAGTTGTGCAACACCATGAACATGAAATGTTAAGATAGACACACATAATTGTATGACCTATTACATAAATAGTCACATCCAGTCCTTTAGAAAGCTATGAGCATTCGCTAGCTGCCCTTAAATTATATTTCCAAGTGTTTTGCTTATTTTCACAGAGACTTACCTGCTGCTGAGAAAAGGATTATCTTTACGTATTTTTCTTTTTCCTTTTAGTTGTCCTCACCTGTGATACCTTTTCAACATGCCACAATTGCATTTCTCTCATGTTGGTTCCTGTTTCTTTGATTCCTGCAGAAACCATACCAAGTAAAGCATGTTCAGACTTTGAGGCTTTTAAATGAGCAACTGCTGACTGAGAATAGGGCCTTGACCAGAGTGGTTACCAGGTTATCAGGTGCTTGCAGGCATCTCCATTCTGTGAACTTGTAATTTTTCCTTTCTTCCCCCTTTTTCTGTAGCCAGCCAAGTGTCATGGCCTGCATCTCTTGCTATTAATGCTTGTGTGGTTGAAAACGAGCTTATTGCATGAAATACAGATGTTCGGCTTATTCACATAATATTAAGCATTCTAGTCCTGCCATATTGGAAATACTTTGGCATAGTTTAGTTGAATGATAAAGAAACTTGTTTTCTGAGTTGTTTTGACCAGAGCAAACATACCCTGTTTTGGCAGATTTTATGTTAAATCTGCTCAATAGGAATGGCAACTTTTAAATAGTTCCCAGCTCAGCCCAGTGATATTACTTCCCATGCATATACCTAAATTAGAAATGTGAAAACCTAGCAGAATAATGTACTTTTCAGTTGTCACTTCATTGGAAGCTTAATTATTAGATCTAAATATAAATTTAAGTCACAAAGTAGAAGCCTCTTGCACCAGCATTCTGTTTAAAGAAAAGAAAGGCCAGCAATGCATTAATTTTCCTAGAGATTATACTATTAAACCATCAAAAATAAAATGTTAACTATGTTGTGGCTCAATAGCACACAATCCAAGCCTAAGCACCAGTGAGTGGGAGTATGTCAGTTGTACTTTTAAAAAGGAACATTGATAGGCAGTGCTTTAGTTCTGACATTTTGCATTAACCATATTGAAGGCAGAAGTAGTAGAATTGTTATGCTTGAGTTGATATTTTAGCTAAACTTGTAAGAAACATGTGCTTCGATTACAAAAACAAAAATTACTAATGAACAGTGATGCTTCAACACCAGAGATATTTTTCCTTGCATTTGCAATTTTAGATATTTCTCCCAAGTTTTGATACTTGAATAGTTTGGAGAGAGGGGGGAAGAATACCATGATGGAAAACAAATAGCACTCCCATGTAGATAATAAGTAGGAGAAAGAATAGGGAAAGAAAAGCATTTGTACCTCAGTTGCAGTGACCTGATCCATAGCAAAATGTATAGCTGTCTTTGATAGTATTTAATTTTGTTAGAGGTGGCAAGAATATCTGGGCAACAGCCTGGCAGTTACTGGCTGCACATGTTGATGGTGCTTAGTTTGGCAAAGGCAGCTTTCATTCTTTGTATGATGTTCTCTGGGAAGACACTGCTTATAGAATCACAGAAGCATATAGTTGGAAGAGTCCTAGCAAGTCAGTGGATTCAACTGCCTGTTCAATGCAGAATTCAAGTCTCCCATCCAGATTCCACCAGGCCTGACCTTGCTTCAGAGTTACGCTGGATCAGGCACTTCACACTATATGGAAGATACATTGTTCGTAGTCTGTACTTGCTGTTAGACCGGTGTTATTCTGTTAGGGCCAGACAAATGCACCCCTCATTTTTTCAGCCTTTTGAGTCAGTAAAACTCATAGTTGCCCCTTTTGATTCAGTAACGTTTTCTGGACAACTGTGGAACAGGGAGGAATTACAGCTTTGTATTTTTGTCTCCCTGTTTTTAATACCCTGGCTGGTTGTGTGGATGCATCTATCCATCTTTGTTTTTCTGAGAGTTGTTGACAAAGTATTTGCGAGATATACAAAAAGTGTTGAAGTTGAACAATTTGAAGTGGTGTCTTAGATAATGTTGCTACAACTACTGTATAGGACAGTGTCAAGGAGATGTTGAGTAACATCTGTGGTTTTCTTTTTTTCTTCTTAAAACTACTAAAATTGGACTTGATATTGCGATTTTCCTAAGCTATCAAGTTTAATAAGAGGCAGAAATGTCATTCATTGCTGTTCAGAGTGCCTCTTGCTTCCTTTAAATACAGGAAATAGTATCTTTCAAGAAAAAATAGTGGATTGCACCAGAAGGACATTGTCTACTTTATTCTAGCCTGCAAGGCGAAAATGTGAAAAACAGTATGGTTTTTCAGATAAATGACCAGCAAAAAGTTCAATAAGAATAACTTGTTTTGAAAATGGAATATTTACCTCGTTCGGAGTCAGTGTGTATCAGAACATCATAAATCTGTAGAAGGCAATGTGTTTCTATTTCTTGAAAGAAAGTAAAGTAATTGGAAGAGACATATTTATCAGTTAAATGATCATTCAAGTTCTATTATTTCAGACATCAATGCCAGGCATAAGTTTTTTTACCTGTATTTATGAAACATTATGTTTTCTGCTTGTGCTGGATTACAAAAGGGTGAACACATCAATTTCATTTCTAAGAAAATGTATTAAGGGCTCAAACCTACCTAGAAATGAAACCTTGCGCTTCATATTTGGAGCTTGGTGCAGTTCACAGAGGTGCAGAGAAATTGCCAGCTCCACATTTTCTGGTGGAGTCTTTGCTATTGCATCTTCTATATGCTAGCCTGACTTTCATGTTCAAAACTTGTTCCAGTGTACAGTCTTGAACTGTGGCCTACACTAAACAAAAATAATATATCCTACAAAATGTAAAACATTTTAAATTAAGGAAACATGCACTTCTTTTGCATAAAAAACAGCTATGGACTCACCAAAGCCTTCCTTCTCCACTAGTTCATGTGATTGCCTTAGTGTGTGCTTGAGCAGGACTGACTAAATCCATTGCAAGTTTTATTTTATGCCCCGTTCTGCAGTGGTGATAATTGGTAGTATGAAAAAACCATTAACAGATGTGCCTAAAGTTTTAAACTGTTGGTCTACTTTTGCACTACTTGTAGGAAATGGGGGCTACTTTTCTTTGAGGGGTTTTCTCTAATATGTTGTTTTTTGTCAGACATCACATACCTATACTTTCTTTTTCTTTGATAGATGCTACCAGATCTGAAGGCCGATAACCAGAGGCTAAAAGATGAAAATGGGGCCTTGATCAGAGTTATCAGCAAGCTTTCCAAATAAGATTGTTTACTCCAGCTGCAAATCATGGGATTGCACATAATTAGTAACTCCAGTGGACCATAGCATGGAAGTCACTGGGAAGCCTGGGAAGATTTCTTGGGACTTGTCATTTTCAGATGTTCTGCCAAATGCCCTCTTACCTGGGTTTGTTTTTTTTAAAAAAAAAAAACAAGATCATTGTTTCATGTGTTAAAGCAGCTGCTGAGAAGACATAATGACGGAGAAATCTTGTTTACAGCTACCACATATAAGGAAAGTATTCAAGGCCAGATAAGCCTCAGATATTTAACCAGTAAGCCTTAGTTGTACATAAACACATGCATCAAAAAGCTTTCTGCTATCACAGACAGTTACTTTATTTTGTTGTTGTGTCACGATTCCTTTTTTCTATCCTGCCATTTTTTTTTCTTTTCTGTCTGAGTTTGGATTTCTGTGTGTTCCCTTCTAATTATTCATGTACCAGATTTATTCTCTTGTACAGTATTTTCACAGCTTTACATTTACAGAAACCACATACCCTTTAAAAATACATGTAGTTAACTAAACCTGTATTTTCCAGCCAGCCACCCCAAAACAGAAAAGTTTTGTGAAAACTTTGCTTTCACTGTTGTGCAATATGCATTTATTTCTTATAAAAAGATGCTTTAAAAGTCAGTTGAAAGTAGATTATTTTAAAACTCCTGTCTTCTGCCTTTATTTACTTTTTAAAAGAAAAGAAAAAGGGTTGTAGTGCAAGATATTAAATCCTGTAACCTTCACGTTCTTTTTAGCAGGTACTGAGTGATGCTGTATATATTAATGTATATTGTTTGGATTTTTCAGTCCCACATGAAATGCTTGAATATATTTCCCTACTGCAAATATGCGTTACAGCAAATTAGGCTGCTCCAAATTAATGATTAACGAAGTCCATTTTTATGGTTTAAATTTAGAAATTGTATTTTGTATGGAGCCACTCTTTACAAAATGTCTAAACTGTAAAGAAATCTTTTCTTTTTTATTTGAGTAGTGTTCACCCATAATAAAACTCAAGTATAACTTCTTCACTAAATTTCACATATCTGTATTTGAGTGCTGTCCAAAACTGTTGTGCTAGCCAAAGTAATCTTTAAATCATTTGAAAGCCCTAACCAAACCTGTTACTCATACATGCACTACTATTGCCATGTGAAGAGGCATCTGAATTGATAAAACCGTTATGTCAGACCATTTTATGCATTTCAGTGGCCTTTTAAAAAGTACTTCAGTGAAGATAGCTTTTGTTAGAAAACAAACAGCTTTTATATTTTCACTAAAACCTACTAAATACAACCATCTTACTGGCCTACGGACTATTGCCTAAAAACCACTGAACAGTTCAGCCATTAAAATAAATTGTACATTGTAAAGCTTGTAGTAGCTATTGTATTATTGATTATATTGTATACTATATTAAATGTGAATTTGTACCCCTTCATTTTAAAAGGTCATTCTGTTCTACTGCCTACTTCTTGGGATGGGACTGCTTCATTTTAGGGTTGGGGAAGGAGAAGGATTAGATGGGGTAAAGAGAAAACAAATCTCCTTTGTGGGGTTGGGGGCTGGGGGGCAGTTTTTTGAAGATGTAAGGTTTTGCTCTTACTACCAAGCTCAGGATTCTTGATTCTAAAGGTACAAGGATATTTCTGGGATATCTTGTTACAGTAGGTCTGCATGAGTCATATGTTTGAAGATGGACATCTTTCATGCTCTTAAGCTAATACAAAACCAAGCAGAGAATTGATCCATCTGAGTGATTGCAACACACTGTGTTGTGGAAGGTTAGGCATACTGTGGATTATATTTGGTAAAGTTTTGGATGCCTGTGAATGATTAAATGTGTATCTAATATTTTAGTGTTTTATATATAGGTTATTTATTCTTTAAAAACTGGCTACTGTGTTGCATTGATTTTATTGGTAGTATTGAGCAGACCTTGCATCTGCATGAAACTACTTGCAAAACCCACTATTTTGCAAAAAAAATGTATTTTGACATATACAAATAAAATGAATAAAACTATTTTAAATGTGTGAATTTTACTGAAAATACATTTTAAACATGAGTTTGGTATTTAACTTCTTTGTGGGCATTTTTTTCCATTGCTTCACTTGGATGCAAAGTACTTTTCAGAGATTGTAATCAAATTGTGTTTGTTTGCACATGTGTAAATGCAACAGTAAAAATGCCATATTTATGCAATCTGTAACAAATTGAAAAATGTTTATATATTTTACATAAACCTGTCTGCATGCAGAAACATGGGAACCAGTTTTTTATGTGTTGTTTTGCCATGATAAAAATGTGTAAATGTAGATGTTTGCTTAATTTACTAGAATATTTTGTAGAGTTTTCCAGAGCCTTTTGTATAAGTTCATTTAACTACACTAACCAACCCTCCCACACTCCAGCAAACTTTTTAGTGTAAAATACAGATTTTGATCAAGTTCCCCACTGGAAACAAGCTTTTGTTCTCATGAATGAATTATTCACTAGTTTTATGTCTGATTGAAATAAGAGAAGCATAGTTTGTGTGTGGTGTACTCAATTTATCCCAGGGTGGAGGACAGTTATCTTTTCCTGGAATTCAACCATCATGAAAACAAAAATAGCTGGAATGTTATTCTGTAAGGTTAAAATACATATTAGAATAATGGAAACATTTCTCAATATGATTGCAGCAAAATGTATTGAAAGGGGAATTATATTTCATAATCCATGTTAAACTAGGTTGTGGGTTTGTAACCATAATGCCCTACATTTGGAGAAAGAGGTTGGTTTTTCTACCATACCAACTACAAGTGAAACAATTTTTTAGTGGAGCAGAAGGGGATAAGAACACTCAAACACTGATGTGGGAATGTTGTGCTGGGCAACATGCCTGCTGATTAAATGTAATGCTCAGAACATAAGGTCATAAACCTCACTTTGGAGGGAAGCTCTTGTCCTTATGTAGGGAAAAAAACAGTTCATAGATGTGAGTGCTGTATAATTTAGAACCAATCTAGCAAAACTTGCATGGTATCCGATAAACAAATTATACTTCTAAAACCAGCATACTAGAACTGAAGTAAAAAAAGAAAATGTGTTTTCGCATTGCTAAGTAAAGTGTTTTGCTATCACTTTTCCAGTTTTAAAAATTAATTTTTTAAAGTAAGGAAAAGTACATTTAAGTTTTGTCAATATTATATTGCTTTGCCATGAAACAGTGAGAAACTCAATTTGTTCCTTCAGCCCTCTTGAACAGTTGTGTGTGTGTGCATGCACACACATGGGGTGTCCTCAGTCTTGCTCAGTTGTAAGGAAAGAGTCTTAGGATAAAAAAGCATGAAGTAAGCAGCACCAAGTGTGAGTACATAGTGCTCAGCACAGTTTTAAGGAATCCAAATTACCCTGATGACTGTTGAAATGGAATTGCTGTCAAACCTATTAAATCAGCTAATCCTCATCTCATCTCAACATTTTAAGCTAGTGCTGATGAGATGTAAAAAACATGTATCCTTTAGAAAGTTCAGAAATTTTCCACTTCTGTCTTTCCACCTGTTGGATGAGTTTCATGCTTTCATTGTACATATAATTATAGGGGGAGAACAGCCTGGTGTTCCACCCTTCCTAAGTTAGTATTGTCTTCCAGAGTTGTAGTTTATAAGGAATAGTTGACTAAGCAAATGCTTATTAGTGTGCACAGCATGATATTCTTGCACTAAAATGCCCATAAACAAGGCTAATGCAAATTTCCTTTTGCTTAAAGTCTAAAGAACAGCTGAAGATATACAAAACATAAACAGAAAAAACTACAAGCAGCATTTCCTCAAAATTATTAATATAGCAACAGGAAAAAAACTAAAATGTGTTACATAAAATCACACTTTTTTACATAACTGGTCTGTTTTTAATTATGGACAATGTAAATAGTTTGTGCATAGAACCTTAAAATGTCAGTTAATATTTTTAAATACAGTAGTTCATCAAATATCAATAGCATGTCTCATCAGCTGTGCATCTTAAATACTAAAGCCTAGATTAAGCCTAAAATGGTTCAAAGTATTGTGAGAGTATCAACAATCCAGATAATAATCGACAACAAAAAATGGCTCGGCAATGACAAGTTGAGAGTACAGTTAGTCCCAACCATATTAACTAAATGTACTCCTAGGATTTTCCTTACCATTGACCTGGACTGCATCCAAACCCTAGTAACCTAGGAAGAGTGGGATGAACTCGTACTTCTTCCATACCCTACAGGTAATGAATTCAAATGGTATGCTTCCTATTGGGTGAAGAGTTTAAACAGCTATGAGAGCTTGTGATTCCATTTTTTTTTTTTTTTTTTTTTTTGCCGCTGATGTTACACTGAAAGAAAAGTGAAAGAAATGGGCTTAGTCTAGGTTAAGGTTTCAACTGGGTCTAGAGTTAAATTATGCCTACCTCAACTGAAGGGTCTAAAGCAGAGAAGAAAGTCATGGCTGTATCCCAGATATGCAAGATCTAACTATATTGAGTGCTTTTTCATATATGATGCTGGGTAGGAAGCCAAGATGTACTTTTGCCCCATTCTACGATACATCAGAATTTAAGAACCCTGGTTTTAGATTCCCTTCTGTTATGTTTCCTGTTGCATAGAAATCAACCCTCAGGTGGCACAGTTTTCCACACTGCTTTGCTTTTGAAAGATGATCAACTTCTCCCCCACCCTGATTTCTTCCATGTCAAGGATTCCAAAACATGGGCAGTGTGGCATTCTGCCTAGTCAAGTGGCACTGGGTGCCTCCTTCATGCCAGCTGCTCAGTCAGTAAGACTGACACTTTTCTTAGCAAACAATTGCTGTGATTGCCCCAAGAATATTGTTTGGTTTTGAAAAGCAGTTGTTGACTATTCGCTTTCTTCAGATTAACATCTATTAGAAATTATGTTGGAGTTTGATAATCCTGCCCAACCTTTGTCTTTTGGTATGCGTCCTGTTCCTGTGTATTTTTAAATTTAAATGAAATCTGCCGCTGGTAGTTCTTACAAAGTGAATGCCCTCACTTCCCATTCGTAGCAGGATAAAAACAGGCATGTTCCAAAGAAATATTCTGGCAAGGCATAGCATTAATTGCACCAAGCTTAGGAAGAGATTCTAAATTCAGGCAGCAGGTGGCATCTATGAGCCTTTTCTGGCCAAATAGTATGGTATCAGAAGAGCATTATGTGTTTTCATCTCTAAGATTGGAATCCTTTCTCTTAGGGTCAGCTTTTCATTTGTATCATACTTGAGGGTAAGCTAAGTATTTTGAGTATCAGCAAGTTGTTAGGCTTTCAAAATATTTAAAATGTTATTTACTAAATAGAGAAAGAATATACTTTCCTTGGATATAATACACAATTAGATACAATACTCAATTCCCTGCTCCTCCATTTCTGAAGTTTAAAGCTTCTCTTAAAAATTGCATGCAGATATTTGTAGCAGATATTCTGACATGCCAGACATGCACTTTTACATGCTACTTCTACTTGCAGAGAATCCATCTCTCAGCTTAATTTCAGGTAACAAAATCCCATAAGCTGTTTTTACCCATCAAATAAGATGGGTTAAAAAAAAGATCAGCTTTAGAAGAGGCATCTCAGAGTTGGTATGCAGCAGGAGAAAGGGCCTCACTTGATTCTCCCCATATCTTTTTCTCCCATAAACACCCCCCCCATTGCTTTTCACCCAGGACATGATTGGGATCTGGAGATTAAAAAGGGAGGAGATAGGTGGAAGAGCAATGGAAGGATTAATCTGCATTCTCCTGCAGGGTTTTCACATGAAAATTATTTCATGAGACAAGCATGTATGCAGATTTAATGTTCTGCCATTATTGTTGCTTTAACCAGACCCAGAAAGGTTTTTAATATCTTTTTCACCTTTTGCTTTCCTTTGACAGCTGTCAGAAGGTGATCTGTCAAGGGAAAGCAAATGTCTAAGAAATCTGCTTGCAAAACAAGGGGTGGAATTTATACCCCCTTGCAGTGACACCCCACCACCACCACCACCACCACCCAATACTTCTCAGGGTGATCCACATTTTCTGCATTATCCTGAGACATAAGCTGCTTGAGAACATGTAGAAATGTGTCCCTCTCACTTCTTGGTAAAAAGAAATTGTCAAAGCTAGATGTCAAAACTCTTTGAAAGGTGCCATTGCTGCAAAAGGGATGTAAATCCTACCATCCATTTTTGCAAGCAAAGATCATTAGTGTCTTTGGTTTCTTTGATAGTTCACTTCATGACTGCTTATGAGGAAAAGTGCAGGGGGGGGGCGGGGGAGTCCTATGTGGACCTTTCCTCGGTTGATGTCCAGAGTTTGCAGCTGTTGCACTTAGGTAGGTACTTCCTAGGGTATTGCCTAGGTAGACTTCCTTTTTTATATTTGTACAAGTGTACACCTACATATGTGCAGAAGTCCAATGTTTAAAAATTTACCAAAATAATTTATGCAGTGCGGATGCAAAAAAGGAGGAACCGTAACTAGTGATATCCCCTTCAGTGCTTTTGTAGGGACTGCCACTAATGGCAGCACAGAGGGCATCACTAAGGGCAGCAAGGAGTTTTCTTGGTCTCTTTTTACTCATGCCTGGATAAAGCAGGCTGAGTTTGGAGAACAAAACAACCAACCTTGTCTCCCATGCGTGGTGTGATTCAAACAAGCTCACACTGGCTCACACTGTCCCTCAAGAAGTCCATGCTGGACATGAATGCAGCAGTACTCTCCTGCCCATGTTTCCCACATAGACATATTTCCTCTGATATTGGGGCTTATAGCCTTCTCTTCCAACTCTTGATTTTACTGGCACCTTTCTGCGTTGTTTTGTCTCCACTTTTCTGACTTTTTGTCACAACTACTTGAATCTTCTTTTCCAGCTAATTTGTATTTCACTTGTCTGAATTGCCTCTCTTCCATAATCAGTTCTTGCCTGTGTGGCCTTTCTCACAGGTTCTACTTAACTGATTCTGTCTCTCTTCTGAGTTGATAGACCTATAAACTGAATGATTGTTCCAGCAAATACATATGCAATAATTTTAATTTTATATCAAGTGCTCAACAGCAATAGATATTAAATCTAAAATAAATAGGCTTTTCAGCTACCAATTTTTATTTCAGCACAATCTTGTGTAAAGAGATGGTGATATGCAAGCATGAGGCAAGAAGGACCCTTTTTATATAGGATGCTACTGCAACTGCATCACCAGGAGTTATTCTGTTCACCTTTGTAACTGATTGTATTCATAAGATAAACACACTTC